TGTGTGGACGCATGTGTGTGAGTGCGTGCGTATATGTATTTATGTGTAAGTGTGTGTGTGTGTGTGTATGCGCGCGCGCGCGCAGATATATACCTAGGAGCTCGTGGAAGCACCGCGGATATACTTACGTGCGTGTGCGTACTTCATCTTCGTAAAACATTTTATTCACGTTCGGTGAAAGCGTTTGCGATTTTGCCAAAAGTCACATCGAGTCGTTCCGGCCGCTCGAGTCGTGAGGAGCCGCGTATGTTATTTATTATCATTGGATCTGCAACATATCCGAACCCATTTAATACCATGCAATGTAGCGACGGGGAATGTTCAATCAAGAACTTTCACCATATGAATAAATAAAAGGACAGAGAGAGAGAGAGAGAGAGAGAGAGAGAGAGAGGGAGAGAGAGAGAGAGAGAGAGAGAGAGAGAGAGAGAGAGAGAGAGAGAGAGAGAGAGAGAGAGGGAGGGAGAGAGAGAGGAAGAGAGAAAGAATTTCAGTGTTACTCTCATCCTTGGCTCGCGGATGACACGCGAGGACCGAAGGATTAAAGTCTAGGATCCCCAGGCTCACTACCCTCCTTCGTTCACACCGGAGACGAATGAAACGGGCTACAATAAGTGGTGAATTCATTGTTTCGCAGAGAACGCCAACGAGATCGGGGCGCAACCGCAGCAGTCGCATCAACAGCAGCAGCAGCAGCAACAGCAGCAGCAGCAGCAACAACAGCAACATCAACAGCAATACGGGGAGGTGAATCAATTGGGCGGCGTGTTCGTGAACGGCAGGCCGCTCCCCAACGCCGTCCGATTGCGAATAGTCGAGCTCGCGCAGCTCGGCATCCGACCGTGCGACATATCGCGACAGCTTCGCGTTAGTCACGGCTGCGTCAGTAAGATACTGGCGCGCTATCACGAGACGGGTAGCATCTTGCCAGGCGCGATCGGCGGCAGCAAGCCGCGCGTCACCACGCCGAAAGTCGTGCAATACATCAAGCAGCTGAAGCTGAAGGACCCGGGGATCTTCGCCTGGGAGATCAGGGACCGGCTGCTGTCCGATGGCGTTTGCGACAAGTACAACGTACCGTCGGTGTCCAGCATCTCGAGAATACTGCGGAACAAGGTCGGCGCCACCACGACCATGCATCACCATCCGCACCATCATCCGGCGCACCATCATCATCATCATCTGTACGCGGCCGCCGCGGCGGCCGGCGCGGCCATTTGTCCGGTGCCGTATCCGCCGGCGGTGCCGTACCATCCGACGGCGCCGCCTTCCGTCACGCATCACCATCACCATCATCATCATCATCCAGGTTAGTATATGGGCACCCGGAGTGGGCACCTTGCCGAATGGTAGGTGGTCACACGCCGCCGTCGCCAAGCGCCGTTTGCGTGCGTCTCTTCCGCAGTTGCTGTTTCTCTCCTTTCTCTCTATGCGATCTCCCTCCCCTGATCGCACTCGACCGAGTTGTTACCATTGTTACAATCCACGTGATTATCACGGTCGTCCTGTGCTCGGCTATCCGCGCATAGAGATCTCGAGCAAGAGTTCTTTCCAGCGTCGTTCCCCTCATCCACGGGGAATCGATGAGATGTAGGATAATTCTTGTGTTTACATGTGTACAGGTTGCTTCGTTATTGGCGGTGTACAGCCGGGAAAGAAGTGACGCCACGAAAGTGCGCAAGTAAATCGAGAACGTGTGTAGAATAATGTTTCTCTCACACAGGGCATCTTCCTCGAAGAGATCAGCTTTAAAGATCCGTCCTTCCCTCCCTCCGTGCGCGTGCACTTGGCTAAGAGTGAATGTAGAATTGTGCGTCTTGTTGCGCGGACGATACTTGGCTGAAATCTGTCTCGGGAGACTCGCTAGACTTGGCAGATCTGTTGTGGCGTGAATGCACGCTTTGCACGGAGCTTTCTCCTCGTGATCAGCCACGCATTCACGATCGGATGCGCATCGCATGATGTAACGTGAAGGCCCAAGCTAAGTGTACGCATAACTATCGCATTTTTTCCGCTTGACTTTCACGATACGCGAACCACTGCGATATGTTTTGGATCATTGCTGGGCCATATTCGACGATGGCGATGGGACTATTCGTTAGGTAAATGCGCGTCACGGAGTGTTCATACGGTGTAACTTCGAACTCCCTCTGCGTTTGTATCTCCTGAAAATAACAATTTTTGTTTCAGATACGCGGACGGCGCTTTTGTACGACAGATTAATATAACGTAACATTCGTGTTATTCACAGGCAAAGAGAAAAAAGAGAGAGAGAGAGAGAGAGAGAGAGAGAGAGAGAGAGAGAGAGAGAGAGAGGAATAAATCATCTACGTTAATCGCAAATTGCATAGAAACGAAAGAAAAAAAGAAAAAAATAGAGAAACAGACCAGAGCTAATGTTCAAAAAATGTCACTCGTTTGTAACGAATACTGTGTAAGCAGACAAATAAATAATTTATACAAAGAACAAACGTTGTTGTGTTCGAGTTGACTCTTCCGGAAATTTTTCTGCAAAGAACTCTCACTCGAGTGCCGCAATGTTGCCGGTAAATTTAATGTCACGGTCAATCCGGGATACACGTTGTTCAGCCGGAAGAACAGTAGGTGCTCTATTCGCTCTTGCACCGCGCGACAATAATCGCGCATGTATCGAGACGCTTGAGGCGGAGGAGGAGCGTTTTCGCCGTCGCAACTCGCCAAGTACCTGTACCGTTCGGTTTTCTAACAACACGAGAGCGCTCAGGGGATGTTAGACGTATCCGTTTCAGTTTCGTCCTGCTAACATAACCGCCGATATCCGAATCTGAAAAGAGCCTCATCCTACCTATTTAGTATGCCGGTGCGTTTCTAGTTGGAGCGTCGGTAGCAGCGGGCAAACTGTCGCCGCCGTCACCACCTCCGGCGATTCACGCCAGCGGCGGACACCAGACGACGGCCAACAACGCTCTGCAGTGGCCGAGTCCTCACACGGTGCACGATATCCTGGCCAACAGCTGCAACATACAGACCTCCTCGTCCTCGTCCTCGCCGACCTCGCCGCTGTGCCCTGCGATCAGTAATAATAATCATCATCATCACAATCATCATCCAAACGACAATCCCGGCAGCAACAGTAGCAACAACAACAACAACGGCAACGGCGGCGGCGGCGGCAACAACAACAACAACAACAACAACAACAACGATCAAACGACGTCGAGCGGTTACCTGCATCCGCATCACCCTCATCTGGCGCATCACCATCACCAACAGTATTACGCCTCGGCGCTGTATCACCATCATCATCATCATTCGGAGAGCATGGCGGCGGCCACTATATCATCCACGCTCTCTGTACAGTCCATTATGCTGCAGTCCTCGGGAGCGACGAGTCAGCCGGCTAGTCCTTGTAATTAGGGGAGGCGACCGGGAGTTGCTTAGCGAAATTGCGACCCTGATGAGAAACCAAATAATTGACGATACGTATGCTCTGCGACGTGAAACGAGGAGTCTATTTAATCTATATTTGCACGACGTGTTAACGACGCGCTGGTGATGATAACACGTCGTCTTCGTGTAATTGTGATTGAAGCACAACTGTAACAAGTTAGTCGACCCAACGTTTAACGAACAGCGAAGACACGAGAGAGAAACGATTTTCTACCGTTCTACAAGAATTGTAAATAAAAATATTAATATTTTAACGAATAATACATATTAACGAAGTGCCTCCCACGTGCCTCCTGTAATAACATAAAAATCGTAAAGTTCTGTTCTGCGTGTGCGTAATATATTCGAAGAGTGACTGTGTAATTATAGTTCGTAAGGCCGCTAGAAATAATTGTACTCGATAGTTCGTTAATATTCGCGTGCGAGTAGCCTGTTATTTCCCCTTTTTTTTTCTTTTTTAATCTACGTATTCTTGAGAAATTCGTGAAGCTTATGACGGCATTTCCGACTTCCACAAGACTCGTTCGTTTTGTACCGACGTAAGAAGACACATCGTGTAACTGTACACGATATAATTGTTAACTATGTTACATTGATAGTATATCTAAATTGATATTTCTTTTTTGGCTGCTGGTCGTTACTGATATATATATATATATATATATATACCTCTGTTAAATTATTTACGATCTCGCAGACATATCGTTGAGACAATAAAAAAAATGGCGCTTATTAAAGTTGGAGCTCTTATCCTTCCATTTTCCGTTATACCATCTCGAAGATTTTAGAATTGGACGCGTGAAAATAAATATTGATATCAATCTGGTGTGGATTTACATATCAGCCGAATAGATATATCGAAAATTCCAAATTATTCTTGAACATTTTCCTCGTCGACGAGCGAAAAGAATGTTGGTTAGAAACTTTTAGTCGGTGCAAATAGTGAGATTCAAGAGAGAGATCTAATTCAATCTTATCGTTGAATACAAATAACATCGTAAAAAGCGACATTTCGCAGATTGATTAGTGTAATGTGTTTTGTTGTATAACGCAGTTACCGCTATTCGCCTTTGATAGTACGGAATCATGACTTATCAACATTTGTCGCATCAAATAAAGAATTAGATATGGACACTGTTGCGTAAAATGTAGTTTTCGCGCGTTCCGAAACTCATTGGCGAAAGCGCGGATTACCTTCGGGCGGTCGTGAAGCGTGGCGAGCGTATAAATAGGTCTGTTCTTTTTATTTACACTCTCTGCACTTAGGTTTTCGCTCTTGCTTCTTGCAACGTCCAAATATGTGTTCGTTTCTTTTTAAATGAGGAAAGTGCCAGGAAGTGCAGCTGAAATGAAATAGACCTAATATATGTCAAGTACCAATAACTTAATAATAATCGCCGTATTTTATTTTGACAAAGATGTGGTATGGGCCATAAATTGACGAATCTGCATCGCAAGATTTGCCTTCATTGCCTTTCAGCTCGTTATATATCGTATACTTATACTTTTCTGTGTAGGAATTCACAGTTTGCAGGCGCGGCGGTCCAAATTATAGCATGACGTGTCTTGTCAGCGTGTGTTGGACGCATGCGCAATGCCGCCTTACGTGGCATCGGCAGCAGTCACGGTTTCATCGACGTACGTTATCTTCGTTTCGTGTAAACATTTTTAGCGATATTATATTTCTGTTATGATTCATACATATTTTATGGTATAACGTAAGTACACACTATTTTATAATAATGTGTGTGAATTTCCTATTAGTGTTATCCTAACATCACCGTTTCGGAATTCAAAACGTCACATACGCTTTTCATCTCATAGCCAGTGATTTTTTCAATGTCTTCATCTATTTTACATTTTATTTAAACGAGAGCATAAGTCGTGCTTACCCATTGATCATCCTTTATCAATGTTAAAATAAAATTATAATTTACTCTGTATATAGATTACCTCTCATTTTCAAGTATTTCCAAGTTTCTTATTTATATTCTTTGCAAGATACTTTTATTCTTTGTAGGAATTTTACTTATATTCTTTGTACAATATTGTGTATATTACATTAAAGTCATATGTATTAACAGAACCTTAGCTACTGAAACATATTGAATTCTCTCTCTCTCTCTCTCTCTCTCTCTCTCTCTCTCTCTCTCTCTCTCTCTCTCTCTCTCTCTCTCTCTCTCCCTCTCTTTCTGTAATCACTTTTCTCCATTTCTACCATCTTATGTAAATGGAATGTCTGTCATTTTAATATAATTCAGCATGTAATACTCTTAGTTATATCTATAATAAATTCTATTGTAACAGATGCAGCATCTTCAAGAAATTGGCACACAGCAATATGCTGCACCTGTGCCACCAATGAGCAATCAACAAAACTTCTCGAGACCTCCAATGATGGGGCAACAGAATTTATCAGGCTCACAAATGCATTCTCACTTATTACCTGCACAAACCATGGTTCATTCCCAAATATTAAGTCCTCCAATGATACCTAGTCCCCATATGTCTCCACGTTTATCATCAGGTCCTGTACCACATGGACAACCTCCTGTAGGTTATCATACACAAGTGACCAGTTCATCGAATATCATTTTATCACAATCTGGAGCAGGACCATACAATTCTGCACCACTATTATCAGCACAGGCTGTCGCAAGTCCAACAGGCCCAGGCTTGTCACAGTATGAATCAAGACAATTTGCTCCTCCACTCTCGACTGCTGGACAACAGTCTGTTACAACTCCTGCTGGACTAAGTTTTCCTCAGGCTCGACCAACGCAGTATGTGCAAAATGCACCTCCAATACCAGGTCAGATCATGACGAATAGTGGTCCTCCAGGGCCAGGACTGGCACAAACTGGTCAAAGGCAATACAGTTCCGCGCCTCCACTGCCGGGACAAGCTTTATCCAGTCCTTTAGGAATTAATCGTATGTCACCTGGAAGCACACCGGATTATCAACCACAATCTGTGTACCAACAGCCAGGATATCATAATCAAATGGTACAAAATTATATGATAATATTGTCTCTCCATATTTGGGCTGTTAATTATATAGACAAAAATATTTATTACTATATTTTTCATATAGGACATGTATAATAGTCAAAGAAGCCCATATCAAAGCAATGTTACCAATACTGCAGGATATCAACCAGGACTTCCACCACAACAAGCTAGACGACTTGATCCAGAACAAATGCCAAGTCCAGTATGAATATAATTATTACGAATCTCACTTATTTGTTACTTTGTTCATTCATTATTTTGAAACTGAGTCAAACTGATATCTGCACGCAGATTCAAGTGATACAAGACGATCAACGTACGAGAGGTGGAGTGTTTATAACTAATCAGAGAGGTCTAGTGCCTCCTCTAGTGACAACAGATTTTGTAACTCAGGATCAAGGAAATGCGTCCCCTAGATACATCAGATCCACTATGTATATTGTTCCTACTACTGCAGATATTATAAAACAGGTATAATATATTAGAATTAATAGGGTAGCTTTAACTGGATAGTTTCTCGTTACATTATCCGCGTCATCTTTCGTAGACCAACGTTCCCTTTGGACTTGTGGTAAGTCCAATGGCTCGTATTGTAGAAGGAGAATGTGAACCACCGATTGTAGACATGGGTGAGATCGGGCCGGTGCGTTGTGTGCGTTGTAAAGCGTACATGTCTCCATTTATGCAATTTATCGACGCTGGCCGCAGATTTCAGTGCATATTTTGTAAAGCTACAACGGAAGGTAATAATACTTGCACATTCTTTTATATGAATTATTTTTTATTTGCATCTCTATATATTTTCTGTACTTAGTCCCCAGTGATTACTTTCAACATTTGGACCACACGGGTCAACGTTTGGATCGTTATGAAAGACCTGAGTTAATGTTGGGTACATTCGAATATATAGCCACAAAGGATTATTGCCGGGTAATGAAAATTGACAATTGAATTTAATAATAATTTCGTATCTTTCAACGCGATCTTTTCTGACATTTGAAAAAAATATATATTGGCAAAATAATTATAAGTGTACCTTGGAAAGAATTGGAAATTAAGATTTAGGATTATTTACATGCTAATATCGATAGAATGGTGTTAGAATTACTTGTATATACTGACTTCTATATGCTCTTTTTCTGCACAGGCCAATGTTTTTCCGAAATCACCAGCCATTGTGTTCTTAATTGAAGTGTCGTATAATACAGTCAAATCTGGGTTAGTGAATTTACTGTGTACAGAAATGAAGTCTATAATAAAAAATCTACCTGTCGATGTTGGACAAACCAAGAGTAACATGAAAGTTGGCTTTATAACTTATAACAATACCGTGCATTTCTACAACATCAATCCTCGTCTTGCTCAACCACAAATGATGGTCGTCGGAGATATTCAAGATGTATTTATGCCACTTCGAGATGGATTTTTATGTGACGTCGAGGAGAGTGAAACAGTTATCGACAGTCTTATGACACAGATTCCTGAGATATTCGCAGATACTCGAGAAACGGAAACAATTCTTGCTCCTGTCATACAAGCTGGTTTAGAAGCATTGAAGGTAAAATAAACAGAATATTGTTCGTATCGAAAAGGAATTATATTTAACAGAAAATATTAGTATTAAAATATTGACAATTAATAGCAATGTTTTTATATGTTAATTTCATTTACCTCTTTAGGTGTCGGAATGTGCTGGCAAATTGTTGGTGTTTCATTCGTCTTTACCAATCGCTGAGGCACCTGGGAAATTGAAGAACCGTGATGATCGTAAATTCCTCGGAACTGATAAGGAAAAAACCGTGTTAGGTATGCAATTTACACGGTGCTATTTAGTAATTCAAACAATCTGTAATATATCAAAACGTTTTTTTTTTTTATTTCATGTAGTACCGCAAAACAATGTCTATAATAATCTGGGTCAGGAATGCGTGGGCGGTGGTTGTAGCGTGGATCTGTTTATCTTTAACAATTCGTATGTAGATATAGCAACGATTGGTCAAATTTGTCGTCTCACTGGTGGAGAGGTTTATAAGTATACTTACTTCCAGGTGAGTTATTTTAACAATAGAAATATATATATATATAAATATGAAAAATTAATGGATAGATTTCCAATAGATATTTTTAACTCGGTAAGAACAAGAATATAATCTTTCTTTTCTATCTTGCAGGCGGATATCGATGGTGAAAGATTAATTTCCGATGTTATTAACAATATTAGCAGACCGATCGCTTTTGACGCCGTTATGCGAGTACGTACGTCTACAGGCGTTAGAGCGACCGATTTCCATGGACACTACTTTATGTCCAATACAACCGATATGGAATTAGCCAGTATAGATTGCGACAAGGTATAATTACATTGTAATCGCAACAATTTCACTACTACAATGCTGTAGAAGACAAAATTATATCTCAGTTTCTTCGAGCGTTAGTTTTATCTTTATTCTAATTAATTCGATGACTACACTAATTTGATTTCATTTTTTCAAGGCTATTGGAATAGAAATCAAACACGATGATAAGCTGGCAGAAGAGGAAGGTGTCTACGTTCAAGTGGCTTTGCTGTATACTTCCTGTAGTGGTGTGAGAAGATTGCGAATCATAAACCTAGGCCTGAAGACCTCTTCACAAATGGTTGAACTGTATCGCGCGTGCGACTTAGATGCCATCATAAATTTCTTCTCCAAGCAAAGTAAGATAGCATGCGACTGCATGTCGTTAGCATGCGATTGCAAGGGAATGAATATGTGATCACATAATATCACATAATGATGTGTGCTCAGGTATTTTCAAATTATTGGAATCTACTCCGAAAGCGGTAAAGGACAACTTGATTGCAAGGTGCGCAAACATATTGGCTGCGTATCGGAAACATTGCGCATCACCTTCAAGCGCCGGGCAGTTGATATTACCGGAATGCATGAAATTACTTCCGCTTTATATCAACTGCGTATTGAGAAGTGATGCGATGTCTGGAGGTAAATAACAGCACTGTACACGGCATTTTCTCTTACGGCCGGTTTTATCTGTAATTTTGATCTTTGCCTTTCATTTTTCTTCATTTTTATCCCTTTCCCAGGTGCTGATATGACTATTGACGACAGATCTTTTGTCATGCAAGCAGTCGCAACGATGCCTGTCATGACGTCCGTTGTGTATACTTATCCTAGATTGCTTCCTTTGCACGACGTGGATCCTCAGGACATGGATTTACCTCCGATGCTGCGTTGTTCTATTGACAAATTCACAGATGATGGCGCTTATCTCCTTGGTAATTACATTGGTCGATAACATACTTTACTTTTGACGAGTATAATCGCAATGTCAAACTGTCTCGCGATTGCCGTAAGTGAGTTCAACGAGACGACAAATATCATCATCTCTTAATATCCGACAAAAAACTAATTATATTGGTATCATTTAAACGCATTTCGCGCTTCTCTCTCCTTTGATTTGCAGAGAATAGCATTCATATGTTCTTGTGGTTGGGGATGACTCTTTCTTCTCAATGGGTACAGAATGTCTTTGGAGTACCTTCGGTAGCTCAAGTCGACACTGATCGTACTGCACTGCCAGTGTTGGATACTCCCTTGAACAACAGGATCATAAATATCATCAACCGTGTACGCGCTGAGAGGCATCGTTGTATGAGAGTGAGTTGAACTAACGTAACGCATGAATGAATTGATTGTTGTATCAGAGAATATGATGTAACCTTGTTTCCGTTGTTTCGTTGGCAGTTAACGATAGTTAGGCAACGTGAGAAACTAGAAATGGTGTTACGCCACTTCTTGGTCGAAGACAGAGGAAACGATGGAAGTCCCAGCTATGTTGATTTCCTATGCCACATGCACAAAGAGATAAGGACACTTCTTAGTCAATAAACAACCTCTTATTAAGCGATCAGCTTGTAACCCGGATCTTTTGCATCGGTGATTTGTTATCGCGTTGCCTCAATGGAGCTCGATTGAGGCTTTGTATTTAATCACTGTATTTTTATGCGTACATCCGCATTGAAAAAACAAGACGTAAAGGGATATGAAATTGCAATCTACACTGCAGGGTAGGCTTAGAAGAGAGAGAAGAAGATCGAAAGAGTAGCGGTGTATTTCTCATCGAACATAGAACATAGAATCGTCGTCGTCTTCTCAATGAAAAGTCAAGCGGAAGTTGAATTACCGAGTGATCATGCCTTGAGTGGAACCATTTCAGTAAACTAGGGCCACAAGGATCAATGTTTGTTTGCGCATTCGTGCCTTTGTGTATCTAGATAGTCATCTAAGAATAAATTCTCATGATGGCACATTTTACCTCACTTTTTGCAACTATTTTAATACAACGGCACGGTAATTGAATTATCACTTGAACCTCATGGGTGGGAAGAAGTCAATCTGCGAGACTGCACAGTGAATATACACACAAGGTGCGTGTTGCCTATCTTCGTTCTTTTAAGCTTACTCTGTATGGACATCTATACACGGACTGGCAGGCTTGATTTCAAAGAACATGACGCGAATCATTCCGACCGATATTCAGATACAAATACGTATGAAAGTTAGACACGCTTGCATCATTCAGTCGTATAGTGAACGTATGAATAACTATGTGGATAACGTGGAATTGTATTATCGTTACTTTATTACTTAAGTAGATCATTAATGTTATTACTCTCCCCATGCTAAGTTAATTATAATAAAGAGTATAATAAATCACAATAAGCTTATACATATACATATATATATTATATATCAATGAGTTTTGTGTTAATATATATCAGAGGTGCATAAATTAAGCGGTGCAGCAGCATCGCGACGCCAAGTACATAAAATGACAGGTTCATAATAATGTTAATAATATTGGTTTAAGAGAAATTGTATTTGTGCGAGAAGAATCGGGTCTTTTTTTAATCACACGCTCGAATAAAGAAAAATATGAGCAAACTGGACTCTTATTGTGATCTTTACAACGAAGTAGCGAGTAGGATGGAGATGGATGGAGTTATATTTACAGAACAATCAAGTGCCTATCGCCCAAATAACCACTGACGAGATCTGGAAGACGAAACAGTTTTGCGTCGAATTTGCGTATATTTTAATCAGTTTATTTCCGTTTATATGTCATTACGATGTAACGATTACGTGCACGATGCACAGAACATAGAACAACGGTGTCGTTTGTATACGAGGTCTTGCACAACGAGTAATGATGAATCCAAATGTAACCGAGAGTGGATTCAACGATAAATTCTATCGAGACGGATCGAGATGGAACTTAAAAGAAAAAAAAAAAAAAAAGAAAGATTAATCAGTCTCTCGCGATATTTTGCGTGCATCGTTAAAATTTGGTAACACATGTGACCCATATTGTACAAGCTGGCTCTGAAATATACGGAGGAATTAAAGGAGCGTGTTCTGTCGTTAGTTCGAGGTCGAATCGTCCTTATTAATCCCCACCGTTTGCCGAAAAGCGTCCGAATGCAACGGTGTGACGCAGGTCTTCACTTTCACTCCACGGCCGAGTGCGATATGTTCAAATATGTAATCGCATTCCGATATTCGCGATATTAAGAAAGGTCGAACCGTCACTTCAGTCTATCGGCCGCGCCGCCGTTACGGGACGGACCGTGTCGCTTATGATCAATGTGATATCTGCGGCAGATTTGCCGGAGGGCGATAAAGTTATTTGTGAAATCGGAATCATTGGAGAGACGCACGCGAACATCGCGATTCCCACCTGCGAAGTTAGTTTCTACGTTTTTATTTCGAGGGCTTGAAAGTCGTGAAATACGTGAGACGCTTTGGGGAAAAATGTCAACGATGAGGGAGTTTGATTGCCTCGACCACAAAGTAACGTTCGACGAAGCCTGCGTGAATGTGATATCGGACAATAGCAACTACGACAGTCTGTGGCTTTACTCGCTCTCTAGCGATTGCGTATCAGTAAGTACGATCGTAACCAGCACGCAAAGTCGCATCTCCGATCAGAAAAAAATATTTAAAAAATGTTGTTAAAAGTATTTAAAAAAAACATTTAAATAACATTTTCAAAATGTTAAAAATAATTTTAAACGAGTTATTAATGTAAAATAAATATTAAATAAACATTAAATAAAGTTGAGTAAATATTTTTTTTTAATCATTTAAAATGAAGAATTAATGTAAAGTAAACGTTAAATAAACGTTAAATAAATATTTTTTCTTGATCATTATTCTAAATGAAGAATTAATGTAAAATAAACGTTAAATAAATTTTTTTATACAATGAATAGAAGAAATGTGAAAAACATGTAAAACAAATATCTGGAAAACGTTAAAAAAATATTGTTTGCTGATTGGGGCGGCCCTCCGTGAATCCTCATTGTTGCGATGATAATAAATATGCCAGAGTGAGATATATACGGTGGCTGATAACTAAATCTCATTATTGCCAAGCGCGCAATTGGGCTGCCGATGATTTAATTTGCAGAGATAACGGAGCTGCTCGCGATACGGAGCAAGAGAAAAAATGTAATTCTCATTAACGATATATGATTCGCGATTCAGCAATGTGGATTCGAAGGGAAGCTGATAAAATCGGTCCCGCTTGCTCCGTTTCTACTCGTTACATGATTTTACAAGTGCATTATTGTCGATGTAATTTTTAATCTCTACGTTTCCTCAGTGTCCGTATAAACGACTAATGAGCATTCCGAGCATCGTCGATAGCAGTTTGAAATTCAGCACGGTCAAAGCGGTAAAGTGGAGAGTGCTGGATAACGATGGCAAGAACGAGTATATATCTGCCGAGAACACTAAGTAAACTTGATGTTCAATATCATTACTTAATATATAACTGCGTTCCGATACGTCTCGTGAAAAATCTGATTAAAATACATATTTTAAGGGAATGATCTTAATTACGCTCCTCCGTGACTCCCCCATCCTTCGCTTCGTCCCCGCAGCATATTGTTATTTGATGTGTTTTCAGAATTTCTTTTTCAGTGATATCTTCTGCGAATTGTCGCCGAATATGGGACAGTACGGCTTGTACGAATTGGCGATACAAGATAAAGCGTGCAGCTTCAGAACTTTGAAGAATCCGACGTATCCTTACACAGGTATGCCACTTTGGAAAATTTTATATAATAAATTATAGTGCCTGGCAACACATTGGATTTTACGAACGAGACGTTTAATGACACAACGACGATAAAATCTGCCTGATGTAAGCGATGTCATCATTGTTTATCCGCGAAACGTGATATGCGATATGATAACGCGATTAGAAGGACACAATGTTATCGATAGTGTTCGAAGGAAGATAATCGCGGAATCATAATGATCGATTAAGAGGTCGATTAAGATGCACTGCTGCGCACGATTTTGAATTTCTTCACGATTAGATCCTCGAAACTGCGCTTATTATTCCGATTAGTGAGACGAGCCGAGATTGTTCACAGAACTCTTCGTTATTTCGGCGATAATCGTGCTGATCTTGCTCGGCATATCTGCCGGGAGATTTCTTTGGCGGACGTACAGAAGACGATACGGGAAAGGCGGGAAAGAAGAGGCGACTAACAAAGAGCCGACGAAACGTCGTGTTAAAGCTATCGACGCTTTCAGAGGGTATGTGAAAACAAAGCTAATGCGAGATCTGCATCAGACAAGCGACATCGCTAACTCTTCCCCAGCCAGAACCGTAACGTTGATTAGACGTTGACTTGACGTTGAAATGGTCGACGAAACGTTGAATCAACGTTACGAATTCAACCCTCATCGAATCAACGTTGTGCTTCTGACTGGGGGTCTACTGCTCGTTTCGTACAGGGCCAGCACTCTCTTCATGATTTTCGTCAACGACGGCTCCGGCAGCTACTCCGTGTTGGGCCACACCACTTGGAACGGCATGTTGCCGGGTGACCTGGTGTTCCCCTGCTTCATGTGGATCATGGGAGTATGCGTGCCCATCGCTTTGTCGGCGCAACTGAGGCGCGGGATTCCGAAGCTCGAGATCGCTTTCACCGTGCTCAAGGTAACATAGTCTATCACGGTCTCGTGATTACGACTCCGGTCGCACCACATGGAACGTCTTCTACGAGCACTTGGGTCTAGGGTTGCCAAATCCAAAAGTTAAAATTATCGGACATTTCTTCTTTGGTAACAAACGCAAACCGAACTAAACCGAACAGAAATAATAATCATAACGTTACATTAAATACAAAATATGACAAGAATTTATTTACAATATTAATTTCCAAGCAATTTTATAAACAAGATTCGATTGAATAAAGTAATAAACTATTACTTTTTTAATATACGTATATGGAATGATGGATCGGCAGATCATCTACTGGATGGCTTTTCGTGGCGCTCGATCGTTTGTAGGCGCTTGAAACGGAGAAACGTTGCTAAAATCTGAACTCTCATTCCATTGATTGGATATAACTGAAAAACCGGACATATGACGTCCGGTTTGACTTATTAACCGGACACTGGACAAGACTTCTGAAAACCTGACAGTCCGGGTTAAAACCGGACGGTTGGCAACCCTACTTGGGTCCTCGTCCTATGGCTCGTTCTTGATTCTTAATTTTAGCATCCTAGTTTGCGATCAGGGCTCGAAGGCTTTTTCAGATCAGAGCGATCGCTTCTGGAATCTCGCGATGCTCTTTGAAGATATCGATATTACATAGCACGCGTTTTTTCGCAGAGGAGCTTCCTTCTCTTCCTGATCGGCGTTTCGCTAAACACGCTAGGCACGAACGCGCAATTGGAAAAGATACGCGTGTTCGGGGTCCTCCAACGATTTGGAGTCACTTATTTGGTCGTCAGCGTCATGTACCTTTGCCTCGAGCCGTCGCTTCAACTTCAGGATCAGGTACTAGAACGTCATACCTTGCCGCGTGTGGACGTGACTTGTCACTTATCAAGTTCACCTGTTACTTGTAGGACTCATCTAGGAATCGGGTAACGCGCGTCCTGCGGGATATGCAGGTCCTCTTGCCGTACTGGTCCTTCATGTTAATCCTCGTAATGGTGCATTGCGGTCTAACTTTTGGCCTCGCGGTTCCCAATTGTCCCACGTACGTAGCTCGATCTTGGTCCTCAGGATGATTCCGAACGTTCACTGATGAGAATCCGTCGACGAATAATAAGCGGGTTTACCGCAGCGGATGCTGACATTTTATATATAAATATCCCACTCTGTGATAGAAGACTCGCGCTTAGGGGACACTTTCATATCACCAAAGGAGATCAGGGAGTTAAAACCCAGATAGGTAATGAGGTTCTTCAAGGATCTCAAGCTGTTCAATGCCTCTTAAAAGAAGGCTAATGGTCACAATAGATCTGATATAAGGTCGTGGTGATGCATAGGCTATTCGGAGTATCCTAGGGCTTTTTCTAATAATAATAATAATAATAATAATAACAATAATAATAATAATAATACCGCAGCGGATACCTCGGGCCGGGCGGCACACACGAGGACGGGTACTACATGAATTGCACCGGAGGCGCAGCTGGATATATCGATCGTGTCGTGCTGACTATCAATCACATCTTCGCGGGACCGACCATCGCTTCCGTTTACGGATCTGGTCCTTTCGATCCTGAGGGGATTTTAGGTAACTGTCGTGTCGCGTATGTGGACATTAATTTGAGATGTCGCATTTGTAATGAACGTCGTGCGTCTTTCGCTTCAGGATGCCTCACGGCGACATTTCAGGTGTACCTCGGCGTACACGCCGGTGTAATCCTTATGATGTATAAAAACTGGAAAGAACGCGTCGTCCGATGGCTTTCCTGGGCGGTGCTATATGGCGTCTTGGGATGCATCCTCCACTTTTGCAACGTTATACCCGTCAACAAGAACCTGTGGTAAAGTATCGGCGAAATCGTTTATCTCGGTGTTGAGTCTTCAGTTTAATGATCTTATCTTGATTCGGCGATCTTCGAGATCGCGAAAACACTGTCAGAATTGCAAATTGAGTCGTGGTATTACGTCCGCGATGAGTATCAAAGTGTAAATAAACGAACTCGCAGGTCTCTCTCCTTCGTGTTCGTTTCAACGTCCTTCGCCTTGGCCTTCCTTTCCGGATGTTACTTGCTGATCGACGTCGTCCGAGTTTGGCAAGGCGGGCCTTTCAGAATAGCCGGTAAGTGACAGCGCGCTTTGTCCTCAAAAGTCGCGAGTAAGACGATCGCGATAGTCGATTTGTGAAGTTGAGGATTACTGAGTGACGCACAGTGAGGCCAGTTGACATTTTTTTGGTGCAAAATTCTCTAGAGACCTGAATTTCTAACCGATCATCGACACCAATGGATGAGGTTGATCTTGAATAAATTCTAAAAAAGAGATCTGTCTAGCCGAAATTTTTAAAAAATTATCGGTTCAAGGTTCATGGGTTTAGGGTTTGTCTTAAAAGTTTCGAGGCTTGAACTTAATGTTTCATAGCTGAATATTCAACGTCGAGTATTATTAGGTTCTCGAACTATGGCTAAATTGGGTTCTTGGACTAATTGGGGCTCTTAATGTATACGGCTTCATGCATCCACGAGCTAAAAAGTTCTCGGATTGATAGATTCCTAGGTTGATGAGCTTAAGACTCAAAATCCTTCGGTTTTGTGCTTAACGGGTCTATATTTGATGTTTTTGTATTTTGGGCATATGAGTTTTGGGTTAATGGGTTTCTGCTTCAAGATCGATAAATCTCGAGGTGTCTGTTGATTGGTTTCATAGTTTCAATCCGCTGAATACTCTATTAGATAGAAATAAATGTCGAATAATGAGTATTTCACAAGTTTCTCGCGTTTAACGATAATTTTTCCTCTTTTGGGGCTAGTAATTCGAGAAAAAAATTTTTTTTTAAATTTTGGCAAGACAGATATCTCTTCGGAATTTATTCAGGATCAACTTCATCCATTGGTGTCGATGATCGATTGGAAATTCAGGTCTCTAGAAACTATTCTTTTGAACCAAAGAATCTAGCCCCACTGTGCGACGGGCGAAATGCACCGGTGAAGATATCCCGAATAAGGTAGAAGGCTAAGTTACAGGCGCGAAGATAAACAGGCAGTTACTAATCTATTCTATGATCTTGCACAAACACGAACTTAGGTATGAACGCATTGGTGTTGTACGTGGGTCACATGATGTGTTACCAAATCTTCCCGTTCCACTGGCGGATCGGCGAGATGGACAGCCGCGCTTTGTGCTTCATCGAGTCGATTTGGGTTGTGGTCCTCTGGACGATCATCGCGTACATTATGCATCACAAACGCACATACATCACGCTCTGAGGTCTACTCGCCACACATCACGCACATATACTTATCGTGTACCATATCTTCGAATACCTAAGAATAGCGGTCGCAAACTGTACATATGCATTATATAATTCGTATATTAAGCGGATTCGTTATGCGAGAGAGTAGGGCGTTGATCACACTGAAACATAATTTCACAATCAAGTTTACATCGTAAATTTCCTTTTTATGTTACTTCGAAGCAGCATCTCGCGCTTTCTCGCCAATAATGGAAGATAACACGCCGAAAAGCACAGTTTCAACTTTACAAATAATTTATTATACAACTTGGATATATATATATATATATATTTGCGTATAAGTAGCACAGTGACAAATTCAGGATTACCTTTAATTTACATATAGATATCCTCGAGTAATGATTAATATTCTTAAAAAGAGCGTTACAATTTTTCTCATGGCGAACCATCGATCTTAAATCAAGAAAACAAACCACATGTTTTTGCTCAAGATATTGCGACACATCGACGATACGACCAACCTCCAGCACGAGAGACACTATTCGACCCTCAGATTCTATCAGACGACAGTCACAAGTCGTGTGAAATTTCAGATTCGTGCTCGAGCGAATTAGCAAGACGTTTTTGTGTCACCGACCGCGATGCAGTTTCTCTCGTCGGTAGAAACAACGCAAGCGGACGATACGGGACAGGTTTGGAGATTGTCTTCGACGGCAGTGTAAAAATGTCTCACGAGTTTACATCTCATCGTCAATTCGCAATTCTCTCTGAAGGAATCCTCGGCTCTTTTCTCTTTTCTTTCTTTTCTTTTCGTCTCGCTGGAGGATCGGCAAGGCGCAACACGGACGAGCACTGGTGAATTATCAATGCGTAAAGAAAAATAGAAAAAAAAGCACACTAACAATTTGGCTTTCCCTAAGGAGGATCCCATCCGTCCTCCCTCAATAATCGGTTGCGTCGGGATCTGAAAAAAGAACGGAGAATTCGGCTCTTTAGGAACGATCTTCGCTGCGGCGGGGGCGCTTGTGAGAAAGACAAAGTCCAAAGATATGCCATAGGTCGTGTGCTGTATTCATGTATTCATGGAGAGATTCATGTACGAGACAAGTGTCGGTCAAAAGTGCGCACATCGTCCGACACGTATGCGACATTGTAGTACACACGTGCGTGCCTCGACTGTACGATTGATCTTCGTTGCTACTCCAACGTGACGTGTCGTCGTTCCCGTACGTTCGCGATTGAATCAGCGAGTGAAAACCCAAAAAAGAACAAACATCACGTGTGTCGTGTGTACGCGTCTCGTTTCAACCAGCCCGAATGACCCACCCTCGCCCCGCCCAACCCCTTCGTCACGCCGTTCTCTCGTCATTCAAATAATTACACGGACACGAACTCGCTTGTGTTTCTTAATCAGTATTAGTCACAACATGCACAAAACAACCAAGCGTCGACGTGTAACAATCAAGATCATCGCAAGACACGACTGCGAGAGAACAGGGAAGCAAGAGAGAGAGAGAGAGAGAGAGAGAGAGAGAAAGAAAGAGAAGAGGATAAAAAAACACGGAGAAAGAAGAAAGAGAAGAGAATGCAAGACAAACGAAGAAGAAGAAGAAGAAGGAAGAGGAGATTGAGAGAAAGAGAAAGAGACGTAAAAACTAAAGGAAATTGTGCGATCGAGTTAGCTAGATGTACATTCAAAAAGAGAAAGAGAGAGAGAGAGAGAGACAGGCATACACAAGAGAAATGAAGAAGAGGAAAGAACGAGCAAGAAGAACGTGGAGAAGAAATTAAGAACGATACACGAAGATATACATATATGGAAGCGATATGTACCGATAGAAAAAAAATCACGTAGCCCGGTAGCAGTCCGGGCTCTCTCGCACTCAGCCCGCTGTTTCTTGCGAATCGAGAGAAAAGGTACGTCCGTGGATCGTGGGGAGCGGTCGTCGCTCGCGGCCAAACACACGGGGTCTCATTCTGCGCTGGCACGTCAGCAATAGTCGGCGTTAGCATTCGCGCAGGATGTCGGCGGGATAGGAGGGACCATCGCCGGTGGATCGCTCATCTTGCCGGGCTTCTGCGAGCACAGCGCATCCCGAGGGCTGCGCGCCGCCCCGCTCAGGGCGCGCGGCACGCTCTTGGTGCTCTTGATCCTCGGACAGAGCACGTTCACCTTGTACGCCCAAGTGGGCATCCTGCTGTCGAGGATCTTGTGGGCGAGCGAAGGCACCACGTCGTGCAGGCCGTCGTGCAGGCCGAACGGCCTCGGGTTCTTCCACGTGCGGAAGTACGGGTCGTCCTTCTGGGGTGCTGGAGCCGTGACCTGGTCTGATTGCCCAGCCGACGGGTGGTCGATGTTGCCGCCGTTCGTCAGGCTCGTCGCGTCGTGGAACCGCCGCCAGGACTGCTCGTGAATGGGCGAGTACTCGGGCGAGGTAAGGCCGCTCGAGTAATTGGAGCAGTAGCTGTCGTCGTAGTTGAAAACGCTGTTGCTCGTGTTTAGCGGCAGACTGAGGTACTCCTTCCTGCAGGAGGGCTCGAGCACTTTGCGCTCGGCGGCCTCTTGGACAGAGTCGTTCAGCAGCCGAAAGAGCCGCGAGTGCGTCTGCGTGCGTTGGTACTTCTTCGAGTTCTTGGAGGACGCGCATTCCGAGTCTGTATCGACCTCGGATATCATGCGGCTCAGGTCAGAGGTCACGCCGCTATCCTCGTCTTCGTCGGTGTCTTCGCGAGAATTCTGCACGCTCAGCAGACGCTTCGTCTCGATCGTCGTCGTCGTCTGCTTGACTTCCGGCTCGAGGTGTTGGTCTTCCTCCTCCTCCTCCTCCTCCTCCTCCTCCTCCTCCTCCTCATTGTCGTCGTCACGCGTTCGTATCTTACCGTTCTCTTCAATCGCTTCGTTTCCGCAATCCTTGTCTGACGTGTCGACCACCTGGACCTGCGGTGGCTCAAGATCGTCCTGCGTCGACGAGGACTCAGACGCTGCGAGGAATCTCGCAGGCTGGAGGTTGTTGTGGACGGAACCGTCGACGTCGACGTATCGTTCGTCCGTCGCCAGGACGTCCCGCGCAGGAGTCGTCAACTCGGCGATGATGTGGCCGTCGTCGTCGCGTTCCGTCACCATAACCGCGTGTTCCTCACTGTTGCTCTCATAGGTCCTCGACGAGTCCTTCCTCAGAGTAAAGTTCACTTGCGGTATCGCCTCTTCGATACTCGAACTCGTGTCGTTTGCATGTTTTTTAATCGTGAAGTCCACGCTGGTGTCGTTGCCGACGTGGAAGTCGACGCTCACGTTGTCGTCATCCACCTTGAGCGTCTCCCCCGCTGAGCGTCTGCTCTTCGTGTCGCGAGTCCTCTCCGCCCTGATCTTGCTGTCGCCGACTATCACTGTGGTCACGTCCTCGTTGTTCTCGGACACGAAGAACTTGAATCTCAGGGGCAAGCTCACGCTGACCATCGTAGCTTCGGAGTCGTCAGGAGGATCGTCGGTCGCCTCAAAAGCGACATCCTGTTGCCCGTTGTTTCTACTCTCGTAGCAAGGACTCTCATCCTGTCGTCTCACGTCGTCGTCGACGACGGTCGACTGACGAAGACCCACGTCATCCGTCGTCGCCTGCTTCGTGGTCGAGTCGCGACCGCTGAAGCTCGCCTCGTCGCTGGAAGAATCGACCAAGTCCTGGCTTCGTCCTCGAGCTTCGTCCGGCTGCTTTCCGTTGTATCCTGCGTTGGTATCCTGCTCGAGTGCGCCGCGAGAGTCGGAATCAGCTGAGTGCTGAGGACGATTCATCCTAAAACGCGCTTTGCCCGCGTTCTCCGAGTCGTCTGCCGAATATCGACGATTTTCCGCGCTGCTGGAGCATCCTTCACGATTGTCCTCGGGGAACCCGGAGCGCCTTTCGATTTCCTTGTCGTGCGGTTTCTCACACGGGTTCAGGCCCGTCGAGTACGCCACGTAGGAGTCCGAGTCGCTGTCGGAGGACGTGTTGTTGGAGGACGTCGTGTCATCGCTGCGCAGGCTGGAGCCTTTCCGTCGTGAGCCGGAGAGTTGCTCATTGTCGGACGTGGAGGACTCGTTGCTGGAGTCGTCGCTGGAGTCGCTGGAGTCGCTCGTGTCCACGTACGTGTAATTCGGCACGTTGATGTGCAGGCCGAAGGTCTTCTCCAGCGTCGGCTCGGCCTTGCCGGAAGCCGAAGAGGTCGTCGCCTCCGCGTTCCCGCGGCTGTCCGGGCGGTTCTCCTCGCCGATTATATTCATCGCCATGACGATGCCGTTCCTGTCGCCGTCGCCTCCTCCTCGTTGCTGACACCTGGGGCCGTGCGCGCCAGCCGACTGTGCGTCCAAGTGATTGATTTCCTCGGGCAAGACGGTATCAGGCAACTGGTGGTCGAGGCCCAGGTCGCTCCTCGCGAGGCGTTCGTCCTCCCACGCGAAGGACAAGCCGCTCGCGGTGAGACGATCCTGCTGATCGTCTGTGTGCGATCGTGGACGCTGACCGTTGCGCTCCTTCGGCTGAGCCTTCGGCGTGTGACCGTCCCAGCCGATCGACGACGGCCGCGTCGCTTTCACCCGTGCAAGATCCGCGAGGTCCTTCGGATCGTAAGGCGGACAAAAGGGCTCGTATGCGACGTATATGTTTCCGTCCGGACACGCGTAAAGAGGAAAGGAATGTTTATTCGTCTCGCCGGCGGCTTCACTGAACGGCGCGGCGCTATACTGCACCGCGGGATAATAGCCCCACCAACCCTCGGGATACCAGAGGGGAACGGGTGCGGGAGGATGAGGAGGGAGAAATACACCCTGCTGATTGCCCGGCAAGTTATTCTCTGTTCGGCGGGTGTAATCCGCTTGGCGATTTTCTTGCGTGGCTACAACAAACAGCACAATGCATTCAGAAGAAAGTTAAATCCCTCGCACCGAGTCGTCGTGCCCGCTCTCCGCGTCTTTAATTCCCGCCTGCGAGAGAGATTATCCTGTTTTCTTTTTCCTTCTCGCCCCATGTAAATCGCGCCTTGTGCGTGTGCCTTTCGTGTGTGTGTTCCGAACCCCCGAGGAGCGATTTCTATTGCATTCTCTCTTTCTCTATTTCTCTCTCTCTCTCTCTCTCTCTCTATTTCTCTCTCTCTCTCTCTCTCTCTCTCCCTCTATCTCTTTCTCTCTTTCTTTCTCTTTCTCTGTCTCTCTCTCTTTCTCTCCTTTTCTCGTTGCGAATAGAAAATGTCGTCTATATAGGCAATAATCGCGAGGAGCTCCACGAGAGGCTTCTGTCTGCCGCTTGGGACGACGTCCCCGAAGCTCCGCACTCCCTCTCTTTCTTTTTCTCTCTTTCTCTCTCTCTCTCCTTTCGTAGTCGGTTTTTCCTTCTTTCCTTTTCTTTCTTTCTTTCTTTTCGACAAAAATGGCATAATGACACGATACAAGCAAAATTATCGGTCTGCTAAGGGGATGAGAGAAAAAAGTGATCCTGTGTTCAAAGGAAAATCATGTCCGGAGGTCTCGGCGAACCGCGAATATCTAAAGTCGAAATCTCATGGCGAGCAATTCCGCCGGCGTCTACGAGCTCTCCTGACAGCGCACTCGAAGGAAGACGGAAGAGAGTTTATATATTTGAAGACAATTACATTCGGTTGCTAACGAGTACCCTAAAACCGAGATGGACGACGGGACGACTGATGTGACTCGACGTCCGATCTATTCATATATTTAATTCTTTCTTTTTTTAGATGGTTATTCAGATAAATTAAATCTTTCGTTAAGAACGGTTGTTATTCGGCTAATTATCCCGATTATCATTAGACATTAAAGTATCAAGGATACTGTTCTACTTTGTGTGTGAAAACGCACGAATGCTCGATTCAAGCTAGTATCTTCGATACTACGATATCGTCCATCTTTGTCGTAACATAGGCGCGTTGAGAGAAGTACATGCTCGAGAGATGTACAGAAGAATACATTCCGACGTACTACGTATACAACTCTCGTTTCCATACAATTCTGAATCAGAGTCAAGATATACCCATAACTAAGTACATGCAAGTAACCACGTTGCATTATTGAGTGAATACCAGCGGTAATAAACACGAAGTCATTAATATGTCATGCAACATTCCCGTTAATTTCTGTGAATCACCTGTGTTGCGACAATGCAGCTATGCATATACATGTGTACCTGTGCACCGAAACACTGACTTGATTGCCAACGAAGAAGAAAGAATACGGTGTGTGCGAAATTACGATGTGACTTAAAAGAGAGGAAACGTAACTCATTTGCTGAACGTGATCTTCGGGATGTGTTTCTCTCCTCTCTCTCTCTCTCTCTCTCTCTCTCTCTCTCTCTCTCTCTCTCTCTCTCTCTCTCTCTCTCACCCCCAAATTTTCTCTTCGATCGTAAGAAACGCTAATTAGAAATGTTCGCCAAATGATCGACGTCTCGTCGAACTTTTAAACATGTTTCGTATATATATATACGTAAAATAGCAGCGAAAAGAAAATTTCGTTATTCCTGTGAACACAGGATTCGGGAATGTTCCAGCGATGCCACGTATGTTACTTCAATAAAGTATCCATTAGAATGTGAAGCGCTTATTATTATTACGGAATAATTAATGTACAGAGGTGAATATAAGCTTTCACGATTAATCCATGAACGAAGAACGTGTGTGTCGCATGATAAAAAAGAGGGTAAATCATTAATATCTATACGTACATGGAAAAAAAAGTCGCGGGAGAAAATGTTCTCCTGCTGTGGAAACTACGAATATATATATCGACGGGCTTCTTTCGTACCGAGGGGAAGAGAAAAGATCCATGTGCAATGAGAAAGTCTCCGGAGACGTTCGTGGCGCTCTCAGAAGTGACTCAGAAATCTCAGCGAGATGAAAATTGACTTTCTTTTTTCTTCTTTCCACAAGCATACTCACCGATACTTTCTGGCGCTGTCATCGCTTGTAATATCCTAAAGGATCGAGAGGGTATGGCGCTACCCATGTACTTCTTCGGCTCCTGAACCTGTTGCTCGCTCGGCGGCAGGTTCGCCTGCGTCTCCTCTGCGTGACAAGCAACGCGTCGAGTCATTAGGACATTCGTTACGATTACTCCGTGAACCTTTCTCACTTACCGAAGGATTTCGAATTTCTGTTTTGCTTCTTACTCGCGACATTCTGTGCGTTACGTGGCGCTGCAACAAGGTAAGAGAAGAGAGTCCGTTGTTGCTCGCGCTTGTTCGCCTTCTCGCTTGCTCATTGCTCGCGCGAGCTTCGCCTTACCTGCGCAAGTGACCGAATTGTCGGTCGAGTCCGTCATGTTTTGTAAAAAGCGGAAAGCACGTGAAGGTATCGCCGCACCGCGATATCTCGGGTCCTCCTCTTGATGAAGATAAGTCTCCTGGTCGACTGTGGAGAAATCGCTAATTACTTGCGCGCTCGCGAGCAGCCATGTATCTTATTCGATATTTCATTATCATCAGACGTCACGGCCAAGAACAACGCGCGAACAAACCTTGCTCCTTGAACCTATTCATAAGCACCCTCTCGTCTTCGCTCAGCTCCATCCTGCGAATCTGATCTGTACCCACGTCGTTGGGTGCATCGGTGTCCGTAATCTTCTGCAGAACACGGAACGATCGCGACTGGACCGGGCCGGTTTCGTGCTGCTGAGCAGAGACTGGAGCTCTCTGCTGCACACTGTCGAATATGCAAGGCGATAAGACAACAAACAAAATTGAGAGAGCACTTTGATCGGAAGTAAAAATCTGCGGGCCCGCAGCCTTACGTCCCTCGTCCCGCGTATATCGATCTCCCTTCACCTCCAAAGGCTCTGAAAGCTCCGAGAGTCCAATTCACTGAACTTACACCTTAGGACCTCTTCCAGCCGCGTTACTTGCTTCGACTGCATTCGACTGCGGCGTCTTCTTGTCGCTACCCTCCACTACGATGGGGATTATGTAGGTGCCGACCGTTTGCTCCGGTCGGGACAAGACTACGACGTGAGTCTGCGGCTGCTCTTGATCCTGCGGCCGAGGCTGCGTCTGGGTCTCTGACTGTTGCGCGGATGCCTGACCCCACCGTTGCTGATGGTGCAGGGTCGGGGGCTGTTTGAACTGATGGTGGCCAGACTCGCGTTTCGCATCGAATACCGATGGTCTGTCTTCGATCTGAAGAGTGGACGGTGGAAATGGATAAGCAAGAAATCTACGAGGTTGAGAGGCGCGTAGGAAGCCAATGACTCACTCGAATAGGTATGATGCGTTCGTGCTGATTCGTTCGTTGAGGCACCTCGGTGTTCTGCTTCTGCTGCTGCTGCTGCTGCTGCTGCTGCTGCTGCCACGGTGACTGGATCTGCTGGGGCGGCTGCTTCTGTTGTTGGTACTGCAACGGAGGAGGTTGGTGCTGCTGCTCAAATTCCTTCTGCTGCGGCCCCTGTGGAGGCGACTGTCGCGGTTGAGGCTGCACCTGGACGTAAACCGGGGACGTCGGGGACGCCGAGCGCTCCGGCGGGCTGGTAGCCGCTTTATTGACGTTCGGCCGTTTCGCCCACTCGGGCAATTCTTCCGAAGGCTTGTTCTTATTTTGAAGCCAAGGCGTCGGGGCCTTGGCCAGAGTGATTTGCGTCGGAGTGTTCGGGCTGTCAGGGCTGCTCGACTGGCTCGACGTTACCGTGATCGGCACGAGCTTCGTGTCGATCTTCGCGACACTCTTCGGCGCTTCCGCTTGCTTGTCCGCAACTGTCGAGGGAGAAGAGTCGAGGGACCTCGTGAGAACTTGAAGACGCAGTTCGTGTCGTCTCGGGGTTAATTCGCTCGGTGACAAGATTGGGGTCGCGTGGAACCAAAAGGCGCGCGCGCGCGCACGCGCGAGAGAGAAAGAGAGAGAGAGAGAGAGAGAGAGAGAGAGAGAGAGAGAGAGAAGGGCGATTATTACCATTCGACGGCATCCTGTTGACCGCGGTCGGCTGGGACACCCTGTTGACCTGGGGCTGCGGTGGGACGTTGGTGGGGAAAACGGGTATCGCCACCTGCGGCTGCACGAAGGGATTCGGCGCGGTAGAAGCTGCGGCCGACGGCTTCGGCTCGAGGGCGGACTTCGGCGGCCCCTCGATGCCTTCGTCATTGGCATTTTTCGCCACTCTCCTGGCCATTCGCGGACTGCGGATCTGCGAGAGGTCCAACTTGCCGCCCATACCTGGCGTGTAGGTAAAAGGCTTCTTATCCTTCGTCAGCATCGCATTCTGGATGGCCGCCGGCGGCTCGTAGGCATCGTTACTGCTCATTTGCGGCCTCTTCGTCGCTGCGCTCTGGACGTCGCCGAAGGAAAAAAGAAATAGCCTCGTGAGTAAATTACCGCCGCGTGTTGCCGTTGCGGCGACAAATTCGCGATCTACAACGACGGACGGTCTAAATTTAAACGCCGACTTTTCGCGAGCTTCCAGACCAGACGTCGAATAAAAACTCGACCGCTAATCTTTAGGACTGTGAGTCTACATTTCGTCGGCTGACTTCATCTCACCTCGGCGGTGTTAATTCTCATAGCTGGCAGTTGACCAGACATTGGAGGCGGAGGTGGCGGTGGTGGAGGTGGTCCTGAAATCACGCACAAATTATAGACAATACTGATACGCGTGTAGCTTGAAGATATAGTAGCTTGTAACCGGTAACTTTAGCACCGGTAGGAGAGTACGTACCCGCAATCATGACGTCCGGATTCCTGAAAACAGACGGCAATTGAAAAATCTGTGTAGTCGAAGTGAACGATCACGCGTTTCTTAATTAGAGCGTTCAATTAAAGCGTATCTCTTATTGAGCTACTGCTTTCTCGTGTCGGACAAGAGAGAGATTTAACATTGACTGACGTCATTAGAAAGTGCAGCTCTCTGCAAAACTCTGCTTATTCAATGAGACGGACAGCAAAGAATCTTGATTTTGCGTGACACGTTGGGAAAGTACATGTGGAAGGTAAACACGAATGCTACTTCTTCGTTTACATGAGACCACTGCTATCTTATCTGCGGAATGGAATTACTTCAGCCGTGAGTCATCGTGCACGTATTCATGCTTTGCGCACGTACGTTATTTAAATGGCATATATATATATATATATATAGCTTTAATAATGTAATATTTCAAAAATATATATTCTCCTCTCAAAGTAACTTAGCATCTGTAAGCAGGCGAATGGAGCGATTTATATAACGACGTGATTACGATATCGATGAAAATACCTTCTTGGAGACTCACGAGACTTTGGGAAGCGCACGGGTTGATTGTTCGTGAAGCAGTGAAATAAAATTATCCTTCTTTTTCCAGCGACGCCCAACTATGATGATGACGTAAGTAAATCGGGAGCCGAGATATTTGGTTTATCGGCGATGCTTTAGTAGTGTGTCCGCACGCGCGCGCATGTGTGCGTACCTGATATGTGTCGAATCGGGCGAAGGTTGATTGGGACGCCTTGTAGGATAACACGGTCAGACATTACCTTAAAAGCACTAAGCAGCGCTTACCACCGGAGTGACCGAGAGATCGCGGAGTGATCGAGAGATATCCCGTTCAAACGTAGCTCGCCATATTCGCCATCGAGAGAGCCTCGCGGTCGAGCCGCCGGATAAATAGATCGCGAAGAGAGAATTTTCGAGTTTCCAGCAGCGACAAGAACAAGTTGTCAGTCAGACGATCGGTCTCGGGGAACTTTCCGTTAGTGTCTGGCTTGTGTTTACTCAAACTTGAAATTACGTATAGTTTCCGATCTATTTCTGATTCGTTAACTCAGCTCAAGGTGATTGACCCTCGCACGCAAAGAGAGCGACGTTGTGAGGTGCTAATTTTCAGGGACATTTGTTCACGCGTTACCAACGAACTCCAACGATACTAGTAGATAATTCTCGCCGACAATAGAAAAAGCACAGACGTGTCGATCTCTGAGAATAGCGCCGAGAATTCTACGCGTCAACGTTCGGCGAATGACCGGCGAGCGAACTTGCCGATTATTAATTAACGCCTTAACACGTGAAAAACACGTTGTTCTCATTGGCATCTCGAAATGATAGACACGCGCGGGAGAGCGATTCATCGGAGGATCTGGTAATCTCCTGGCAACGAAGGGGGAAATCTAAAATTACAATAAAAGAGAGAGAGAGAGAGAGAGAGAGAGAGAGAGAAAGAGAAAAAGGGAGAGAGAGGGACAGAGACAGAGGAATCTCCTCGCTCCTTTTCCCTCCTTTCGGGAGCGCGGCGGCGGGATGATGGCGTTTTTATCTTGGCACGGCTGTTACGGCACGTGGTGCTCGATTTCGGCAGATTCACAGGTGCTTCGCTAAAAAAGACGGCGCGTTCTCGTGGAGAAGTTGCCAGCTTCTTCCACGTTATTTTCGCATAAGCGAGCCATGCTTTATCGTCCCGCTGCGCCGCCGCTGACGAATAATCGCGGCTATGAATAAGCGCGGTCGTTTCCAGTCTTTTATTTTAGACAGCGCTAAATATCCTCGCGAGACCTCGCTGGTCTCTGCAAGTCGTTCTCTCGAGTTGACTGCCGAGGAGATATGGGATGTCCTCGGAAGCCCCGGAGGATGACCAAGAGGACCCACTCGGACCCTTCGATGACTCGAGACGCGACTTTCGTCGCGGACTCCGCGAGTCCTCGTGAGCGCGACTTTCTCATGAAAACCTCAATCACGGCGAATCGAATCATCGGTCACGCCGACGGTGGCCACGCCGCGCGATGCTCGGAACCCAGCCAACGGACCGCAGCGTAGAAGTGTATTTAGGTAGATACGTGAAGCGAGAGAGAGTAATTTTAGCGCGGGCTGACCTGCGCATTGGAGCCTCGCATAAAATGCTTCCAATTATTTTATTTTTAGGATATCCAACGGCGCGGCAAATGCGCGATAAGTGAACAGCTTAGATCACCTCTCGGGCCGCGGATTATCGAGCGAAGCGCGCTGAGTCTCACTGTGCTGAGAACCGTCTCGAAATAATTCTCTGCGAAAAAGACAAATGAAGAGCGGGAGATGCTCTCTCTCTCTCTCTCTCTCTCTCGTCGCTACTGCACCCACCGACCGTTGAGAGATCGAAATACTATTATTAGTAATGCAAGAGCGCACGATGTTGCGCCCACACGATCGCAAGATCGCCCCTTGCCCGGAAGCGGCGATTCTCCATCGCTGGTCCACTCGCGCGATGGAAGCTCCTGGAAGGCTCGTCGCGAAAATGCGCCAGACTCGCGGAGGGAGGAGAAGAGCGCGAACGAAATTGAATCTCTCCGCTGAGCGCATCCGCTCCTCCGCGCGGTGAAATATGTGTCGAGGGGCCCGACGGTCCAGGTGTGACGGCAAGGCCGATTCGGGCCGCCTCCTTCTCGAAAAACGAGTTCCACCTCTCTCTCTCTATCTCTCTCTCTTTCTCTCTCTCTCTCTCTCTTTCTCTCCCGCTCTCGACGGATTCGCTCGGGCCTGCGCTCGTCGCGACGAGGCCCATCGGAGACGCATCGCGCACGGATAATCGCAACGGCTTTTGCGACGCGACTTGCTCCACTTGCGAGCCCCGGCGACGCGATCGCGTTCTCGATTGCCCGATCGTCGACGTCGAATCGCGGACGACCCGACCCGACGCTCGATTTAGCCCGGCTCCGTCGGCTGTGCGTTTCAAATGCGCGACGCTCCCCGTGCTCGTTGGAAAAACTCCACCGTCGCGACCTTTCGCTGCGTGGCTCGTCGTAATCGTGCGCTCTCGCTATTAGTAGCTTCCGCTGCTAATGCTCTCATCCTGCGAAGGGTTGCGCAGGAGAGACGCGGCCGCGCGCGCGCGCGCGTTCTTCCGGGTCGGGAGAGCTCGAGTCCGCGACGCGAATGGAAGCTCGGCTCTCGCCTCACGAGCGGATCTTACCCGACGAACGTCGACGAGCTCATGTCCAGAAGAAGAGACCTTCGTGATTCGCCGAGTGTCCAAGTGCACGCGCTCAGGCCTAGGCCACCGCACAGCCAGGTAGAAACCGGTTTGTCCGCAAGGCGAGCGCCGTTCCTCGGCTCCCCGAAAGCTCCCAAGTCGCAGGCGGATATTCAAAGAAGAGACGAGCAGCACCGATGCCGACACTAGCGCGTGCCCGCCGCTACTACGGGCCGTCGCCGTTCGATTCGCTCGCCGCGAAGACCTCGTGACTCTGCACACTGGCACACCACCGCCAGCGGCTGCGTGGCTCTCTCTCTCTTTTACATCCTTACCGATTTGCTCGCCACGACGACGCGCCGCGCCGGTCGCTGGTCACCGCGCGCCGGCCGGCCGTCGTCGTCGTCGTCGTCATCGTCGTTGTTCGCCGTGCGCCGAAATAGCTCGCGTTTATTTCGGGAGCGCGCTGTGTGTACGAGACGAGATATTTCTTATTACTTGTGATATCAACGCTATTGCCGGCCACGTTCCATCGTACCCTGCTACTTGGTCGTCGATCGATCAGATCGTTGGACGCTTGTGTGTGTGTGTGTGTGTGTGTGTGCGCGCGCGCGCGTTTGTCTGCCGTTAAAAATAGCCGCGAAGAAAACGCGCGAAGAAAAGTCGCTCAGCTCGTAGACGGAGCGATCATCTCGCTGATTCTCGCCATTGTCTTCGTTAAGTTACAGGTGCGCTCTTCTGGGTCTCCTTCGGCGACGCCGGGGGGGGGGTACTCGCGATTAAAGGGAAAAGAACTTCCAAACCACATGACGTTATTCTTTATTTCGAGATGTCAGAAATGGGGGAGAGACGGGATAGGAAGATACATCGCGGCCAAGTGGCCTGCCAAGGCTCGTATCAGATCACGTCCTGAGGACTGAGAAGATTGCGAATTGAAGAGCGGAACTTGGACCAGTCGGGGCGACGACGCGAGTCAACATTGGAATGATGCACCGACCGAGTCCTAAAATTCGATTTGTCATCCTGGATCTTCGATCGAGCGTGATCTGATACTCGGCTCTGATTGTCAGCAATCACGGTGTCCATCTGCGCAACATCTGCTCGCCGATCTACGATCTACGGCGGGCCTGCCTCGCCTCATCGCAAGAGGGATCTGCTCGAAAAATACCGCGACATTCTAGACATCACGCGTGCTCCAGCGCGCCCTATAAACTAAATAACAAAGGTACGATGCTCAACGTTCTCTCGAACAGCACGGCGTAACGCGAGTGTGTTCCGTCTCATATTGACAGCTAGCAAGCTCGACGTGATAAAGAGTATCTACCGGCTATCTACTGGGACGACGAGGAGAGAGAGAGAGAGAGAGAGAGAGAGAGAGAGAGAGAGAGAGAGAGAGAGAGAGAGAGAGAGAGAGACGGCCGTCGACGAGGTCGCTCGAAAACGAGACGAGGCTCGAGGTTAGCGCTCGTCCTGGTGGCTGGAGGCCACGACCTCGTCGAACGCCGCCTCATGCTCGGAAGTACTGAACATGTACGCCGGCAGAGTCATGCCCAGGACCTTGTCGTACCTGGAGCGCGTCTCCGACGTGTAGTCGTACGGCTCGGCCTCCTTCGTCTCCTCCGCCGTGTGCGACGCTTCGTCAGGGTAGTCGTTGTCCGGCTTCTCCAGCCTCACGTAAGTGTTCTTGCTGGCGGCCGCGACGAGCTCCGGCGCCGGGGGACTCGTCGTTCTCGGCTTCGCCGAGCTCGCCGAGTCTACCTGGAACTCCTTGATCTCGTGGAACGCCAGTTTGTCAGGCTCCTCGCCGGTCACGAAGACGCACTCCTCCTTCTGGAAGCCCTTGTCGTCGACGCACTGATAGCAGGTCATCTTGTCGCGCATGACCTTCTTGCACTTGGAGCGGTCCTCCTTCCGGAAGTTCTGCAGGAAGCCTTCGATCTCCGCCTTCTTCTGCGCGGTGTGCAGGTAGCCCGTGTCCACGTCCTCGCCTCCTTTCGCCTCGTCGTCCTTGGTCCTCGCCTCGTCCTTCGTCGACGCTTCGTAGCTTGGCCCGGCCGAGTACGACTCGTCGGCTCCTTGCACGACCTCCGTACCGTCAGGACGCTGCTGCTCTTCGTCGGACGCCTCGCTGTACTCGGAGCCGTCGCTCTTTCGCGGGTTGCCGAAGGAGCTGGACTTGCTGTAAGAGAAGAGTTTGTCGGTGGGCTTGTACGAGTACGAGCACTGCTCGAAGTCGTTGCCGGTCTTCGGGTCCTTGCAGATCGTGCACGTCATGGAGTCCTTTTCCACCTTCCTGCAGTGCTCAGCGCCGATATTCTCAGAGTGACGTTCCGAAGCGGATTTATCGCGGTCGGATGCTGATGTCGTCCCGTAAGATCCATGCTCTTCGTCGTCCGACGTGGCCTCGCTCGATTCATCGGGGCTGGAATATTCACCTCCGTAATAAGGCGAGCCGCGCGATGAACCGTCGGAATCATCCTCGGCTGCTCGCTCAGACCCACCCCGTGGGTAAGCGGAGGATGCTGATCCGTCTGCGTGATGGAACATGAATCGGGTCTAAATACGAAGAACAAAGCGAAGCCGGCGCGCGACACTCCTTGAAGTGTCGTGTAAATTGCGAATGTACGAAATTGCCGCGCTTCACGGGCCAGAAGGTTCGCCACCCCCAGCCGGATGTTCGCTACTCGAAATGAAATTCGCCGGCAGTCCGCCCGAAGGACTCGTCGGTGACCCGAGAGTGAACGCAGCTTACCGAAATAAACGCCCTCGCCGTGCGGGTAGACCTTGTCCTTGGACTCGTGCGACGCGCCGGTTGCCTTGTCCGCATCCCCAGAGGTGCCCGAGGTCTTCTCCGGATAACCGAAGCTCTTGGATCGGCTGTACTTATACAGCTTGTCGCTCGGCTGATAGCTGTAGGTGCACTTCTCGTAGGTGCCGCCGTTCTTTGGATCCTTGCACACCGTGCAGGTCTTCGAGTCCTTCTGCACCTGCTTACAGCCCGTCGTAGGCGAGTCCTGCACTTCGTCCTGCTCGCTCTTCACCGTGGGGGTCGTAGGACGATAATCGCTGGAGTAGGAGTACTCGCGAGGTCCTTCCTCAGGAGCACTGCCTTCTCCTTGTCTATCGGAGACTCGGTCGCTCGAAGACTCGGAGTAAGGACTTTCTTCAGTCTCCCGCCGAGTCTCTTCCTTTTCGCTCTTCTGCTCCTTGGGTTCGCCGAAGGTGCTGGACTTTGTGTAGGAATACGCCTTCTCGCGCGGTTGCTTCACGTACGAACATTGCTCGTACTTACCGTTGGTCTTGGCGTCCTTGCACACCATGCACACCATGGAATCCTTCATGACCTTCTCGCATTTCTCTCCCTTGTTCTGATACGTGGTGGGCACGTTGTGCGTGGTGTCGGTGAAGTACTCGTCGGCGAACCGGTAAGGATTCCGTGGCCTCCAGTTCTTGTCCGAGCTGGACCTAAGGGTAAGAAGTTGAGAGGATTCGTCAGGACAATCGCCAGGTCGATCGACGCGTCGGTCGTCGATGATTTCATCGTTGATTACAAACGCGGGAAATCAGACAATCGTCCGAAAGCTGTGGATGCCTCATTTTTCATCTCATTATTCTCCGCGCTTATATCGTTTTAAGGCAATTTATTATTAAGTTATGTTTAAGTTCTATCTATATCGTATACTTGAGGACTAAAACCAGGCGATAAATTAAGTTAATTTAATTGGCCGCTCGCTCAGCCATCTCTGTACCTTCGATGTCTGAAGTTAATCGGCGCAGGTAGGATGCGCGCCATCTTCATGTTCGAGGACGCAGTCTCCTCAGGCTCGCTCTTGTACATGCAGCGCTCGGACGTGGACTTGGTTTTGGGATCCTTGCATCTGTAACAGGTCGTGGTACCTTTCGGCCGCTTGCTCTCCGGCTCGATCGTCTTCACCTTGATCTCCTGGCAATACGCATTCCTCAAGTTTGGAGCGAACTCCTTGTGCTTCAGGGGATCCTTGGCGGCAAGCGGAGCGTAGAACGGAGATGTCGCTTTCTTGAAGCTCTTGTCTTCGATCGGCTCCTTCTTGACGATGCTGATCGGAAAAGGCTCAGACGAGCTCGCGTCGTGATGATCCTCGGCCGACTCGTGGAAATCGTAATAACGTGGACGTATATCGGAAGAGGCGGCCTCGTAAAAGTCATAATTGTGGTGGTTCCAAGGAGCTCGCGAGTTCTCATATTGCACCTCGGCCTTCAAACGCTCGTGCTCGTAATTTGCGTTAACCGCGTGACAAGCAATTAGAGCCGATAACGCTACCAGATACACCTGTAATTATAATCTCGGGTTAAGAGGAAAGAGGAGAAGAGATATCGAGCGAAAGCGTTCCTTGAGGAGACGTCGAGCGTCGAGAGACGAGATCTCTAATTCTGTTTTCATCCAACAGGCAACAGGAGAGACTGTAGAGCAGAAGTGAAGGAGAAAAGAGAAATTAGCGACTCGTTCGACGCGTCTCCCTCGTACGTGACTGACCTTGCAGCAAGCCATTTTCGCAGATCATCGATTGTTTTCCGCGCGGAAAACGCAAACGGAGCTCGCGCCGAAGTTCGTCCACGACTTCCGATCCCGACGGGATACTCACGATTCGCATCACTTTCTTGCCGAGTGATCGCGCCTCCGTGTGAAATGGCTTTATATTGACTCGCTGAACGACAGATTATATTCCCCACCTCTGGGCAAATCCACGCTGGGTGGATAGAAAACCCCGCGCGGAGAACGCTCTATTCCCCGGCGTTTCAGAAAAATCCGAAGGATCACCAAGCGTGACGCGCGCGCTCCGCGTCGATCGGAGCGATCGAGACAATCGGTCGATTACCTAAACTACTTTTGCTTTTATTTACGCAACGCTCTCGGCGCTCGCGCTCGGCGGCTCGAATGAAAACGAGTGAAAATAATAGAAGTAACGTTCGATTATAAGCCGAGCGAGATTACGTCGCTGCGGATGGAGAAGGAGGGAAAACGTCGGCGACGATTTTTACCGCGCTGACAAATCTGCGGTTCGCCTTGTGTACACAAAACGCCCGAAGGATTTGGATTGCAAATTTCGCTCGCGCTTGTAAACGTTCGGCGCACCTTTTTTTTCTCCTTTCATTACCGACGTGAATATTTAGTAAAGTAAGTCATTTTTTCCCTCACAGAGTGGACTGAAATGTCCGCGTGAAACGTCGGAGAGAGAGAGAGAGAGAGAGAGAGAGAGAGAGAAATCCACAAAAACGCTGCTCCAATGAGAAGACAAAAACAGGCATTTCTCCGCGCTGCGAGAGCTCGGGTAAATACTTAAATAGCTCGAATAAATTATTGTGCTTCTGAGAATGAATTCATTGAATTCACGCTCGGAGAGGTGATCGATTGAGAGCGAATTGCGAGCTCGCTGTCTGCCGCTGTTGAATCGCGTGTAGAAATTTCCAGCGAGAACAGAGTGCAGTCCGGCGATGATGTCGAATCATCGAATAATCCAATAGATACGTCACTATCGCGTTTCTACCCTATTTACGGCCGAGAAGCAAAACTGTGCAATGTGAAAGTATTCGAGGATCAATGACCGCGCGCGTGTCATTGTATTTTCGCTCCGACGCGACGCGACGCGACGCGACGCAGTGCTTTGTCGAAATATACATGTCCGTGTGCGGCTACATTAATCTTTCCGTCGCAGATCCGAGGATTTAATTACTCGACTCGGATGAGACGGGACGCTGTCGGTCAGCGCGACACGACAGGCAAACCGTTTTGTGTTCATTGAACGCGAAGCCCGACATGTCACACGCGACGAAGCTCAGCGTCGAACATCGCGCAACACAATGAAACGGACACGCTCGACAGTCTGTAGACTTTATTTTGCCTCCGTGCGATGTTTTATTGGACCTTACAACGAGACTGGGTATTGTCTGGACATGAATAACGCTTGAGACGCAAATCGCAAGTGCGAGAGGATCGCCTTGGGTGCTACTTCTCGACTCCGGTGATGAGTTCTATCTGTTAAAAGTGCCTCGTGTATCCTCGAGAGACGAGAGGGAAAGCTCGGAGAGACGCGCGTGGAATCGAAGTCGCAGGATGCGGAGCGTCCTTGAGTAGCGGGCTCTCCCAAGGTTCATTCTTTGAAGGGAAACTGCCGTGGATAAACGGAAATGTGAGAGACGCGCGGCGCCTGATTGCCGGCGAGTTGCTTGCCGAAAAATGCGTCGGTAGGCGCGGGCTTGAGCTGCAGCTTCGACGCGATCTTCTGCATGATCTTGTCGTTCTTGATGTCACTCGTCGTCCTCTTGTCGCTCGGCTTGCTCTTCACGGCGCGTTTGCGGTAGTAGATCACCTCACCGGCCAAAGTGATCATCGCCAGGCCGAGCCCGAACAAAGTGGCGATAAACACGCCTCCTGCGGAGAAAATCGGTCGATTGCGAAAATTGAAAGATGTGGAAGAACAACCATCATCGTCGGGTTATCACGATTGAAATTGATTGTTTCTTTGTCTTGATCTTTATTTTTTTTTTCTCGCGCTTGACGCGACTTGTACGGTTTATAGTACTAACGACTGACCCAAACTCTCCAACGTGATGCCCTCGTTGTCATCGGAATTCGGGCATTGGGCCTTTAACGTCTGATTCCAGTACTTGGACGCTAGCGTCTCGAAGTATCTGTCCTTCTGCAAATCGAGGATCCTGCAAATCACGTCGCACTCGTGTACGAAATATTTCACACGTATCGTGGCGAAGCACGCGACGCTGTTAAATTTGGTCGTCATTTATCGCGTGTCGCTTGATTCATTCCTTCCCGATGCAATTACCGCATACTCTGCTTTATGATTATGTGAAATGAAAGTCTAAAATATTTTCTAAAACGACGAAGCGAACGATCACGTCGCTCTAAGCGAAAATAACTCGGGAACGAGCGAATCAGGCCCGGTCGGAGGAAAGAAGACGTAAGAAAATCGATCCGAGACTTTCTGCTGATTTCCTCTTGCAGGTGACTGCCTTGCTGCACCGCGATGGCGTACGGCTGCTCGGCGAATATTTCGCCCACTTCCGTCAGGTTGCAGTTCTTCGTGACCGCATACTTGATCTCAGACGAGTCGTGAATGAACGCGAACTCGGCGTTTTCGCTCTCTATCACCTGAAAGGCGCTCGAATTTAGAAGAAGAAGAAGAAGAAGAAGATTGCCGTCTTGCACTCTCCGTCTTCTCCTCTCTCCTTCTGCCTACCTTCTTGAAGCCCTCCGCGGTGTCCCTCACGGGGCCAACTTGGGTGATGGCCTGCAGAATGTGACCATACTGTTCCTTTATCGGATAATCCCAGACGCGGTACTCCACCTGATCGCTCGTGCTGTTCAGCGTGATCTCCTTCCACACCCTGCAAATGATTGACGTGATGAGGTCTCGATAAACCGCGGAGAAATCGCGATCGCTTCTCACGCACGTGTAAAGTTTATCCTCGGCGTTCTTCATGTTTATGAAGTACTGGTGAGCGCTGGAGTTGGCCAGCACGGTGTAATTGATTCGCGATTGCCGCGCTAGCTGCTCCAACGATTGTACAGGCGACTGTATAACAGGGCGAGTATCAACATTCTCGTTTTTCTCGACACTTTCTCGTTAACGTTAACGTGTGTTCGACGATGCCGCGCCTTATCCGATCCGAAATGACAAAGTACTTGTTCGCTGTCGACGAGAAGAACGAACGACAGGAAAAGCAAAGAGGAGAGCATACCTGCATTCTCTCTACGGTGAGGAAGGCGGCCAAATTGGCGGTAAAAGTCGCCAACATCAGCACGACGAACAGCCAATATGCCGCGACCAGCGTCCTGCTCGATAACGCCTTCGGAGCTTCGCCACCACCCTGCGGCGTGAAGGACGTCAGGGCGAACCAGAAGCTTTCCTTCAGCGTGAATTCTCTGGCAAGCGGAAAGCGTCCGTTAAGCCTGATCGACTGGAGACATTTTGTCTCAGTTTTCATTGAAAATGGATTTTAGGCGGAACGACAAACTGAACGAGGATGCCGCAAAAAGAAAAAAAAAAGAAACTGAATCCTTGGGAGAGAGCTTACCGACAAGGATACGGGTAGAGTTGCTTGTTGTTTCTCGCGCTGTACGGCGAGTATTTGTCGAGTATCCAGATCATAATACCGGTGAGAGTCAAAGCGCCTACGATGCTGAGCCAGACTTCGAGTCTCAGCACCGTCATGAACTTGAAGAGGGATGTTTTGCGCACCGGCTTTCTCATTACTCGAAAACAAATAGTCCACATGAATCAGCCGCTATTCAGTCGTCTACGTGATACATTGATTGACGCCTGCAACTCGCATCGTAAGAGAAACCGAGCAAAGAGTGGCAGAGAAACGTGGCTGTCACGGAATGAAAATTGACGAAGAGAAAGAGAGAGAGAGAGAGAGAGAGAGAGAGAGAGAGAGAGAGAGAGAGAGAGAGAGAGAGCGCGCGCGCTCAAGCGTTATTACAAAACACACTCTATTGTTAAAACTCTATTGTTGAACCGCCGATTAATTACCGATTAGTATGCCGGACTGTTCGAAATACGGTGCGACAAAGTCGATGACTTCCTCCCGCTCCGACGTCATCGTTAACGCCGCTATGGCGATATCGGTCTCCTGCAAAGACGGATAAATGTATCGGCTGCGGTCGAAGAGCGCCATTGAGGTGCTTCGAGATTTTCTCGAGCAAGTTTCGTACGAGTGTTGTGCAAGGATCAACAAGGAGAATTCGACCTACCCCTCGAGCTAGATCGCCTATTAAGCCGTTCCACTCGCCATTGGGCAATTTTTTGCCAAAATCCTGATCCTCGGGGATAACGAGTTCGTAATCAAACTGCATCACTTCGGACAGTTTTTGTATGAAGTCGATGCAGTAACCTTCCCAGATCTCCTTTCCCTCCTCGTTGTGCATTTCTTGGCCCGCCGGGTCTTTCTTAATGACCGACCAAGGGACCGCCTGTTTCAAATTGGGAATGAGAATTTTCAGTCGGGTCTATGTATAATCGGAATTGACCCGAAGCAAATTGTCGATATTGACGCGACGTAACGTGTTTATTAAATAAGAATTAACAACAAGTAGCGCGTCATTGAAACGCGTCAATCAACGCGTCGGTCTTAAGCTCTCGAACGAAATTAACGCTCCAGTTTCTCGCTCAATCTCTCCCGCCTGTTTTCTCGAAGTACTTATGAAACGATCAGTCAGTTTTGATAATCCGCGGGTGCGTTTTTGTCATCCCACTCGTTTAACGGTACGCGACGGACGAAACGAAGTCTCTCTCAGTGAAATGCGCTTCTCACCGGTGCGGTTCCAATCCGGAAGAATCGCCTGGCTGGCTCTATTTTCTTCCCGTCCGCTTCTTTAATTTTTGTACGTCTCGTCCAAGTTGCGAGTGCTTCCACGGAGCCTCGACTAACCGCTTGCAGCTCGATCTCCGCCCTATAAGTGATCATCAACTTCTCTGACCAGTACTCGAAAGTATCGTTGTTGTCCAGTCTCTAAAATGCAATGTCAAGACAGATAAACAATCCACTTGGCAGAAACTCGATCGACTCGATCGCGACCGCGAGCAAAAATATTGTCCGCTGCACGGAATCCAAAGCGAAGAAACCTCGCCTCCTCCGTTTCTCTCGAGATGAATTTCGCCGGTACGCACCGTCATCAAAATCTTGTTGAATGTCTCCGCTGTGACGTTCGAGGCTGGAGTAGAATTATACGAGGAGCACTGGCCGGTTTTCGGCTCCACGCTCACCCCAGCTTTCTGCACGTCGCTCATCAGGCTCACGATCAGGCCGATCAAACGTTTGAAATAGAAGGGGAATATCTAACGCACAACAGGATTTTCGATTAATACGAGGATCATTTCTGGAGCAGGAGGAAATACATTTCCTCTGATTGAGAGAGGACGCGAGAACGTTATTCCTTCTGATGTTGATCAAGTCGGCCATTTTCTTGTGCGAGGGACACATTGTGTAATTATTTTCATACAAGGTGCTGTAGCAAGTTTTGTTCTCTCATCTCAATGATGCAGACCTTGAAGTTCATGGGGCAATTGCAGGCTGCCTCGCCTATCAGACGGCAACAGATGTCGGGATTCATATTGAGGATGGTGAAAGAGACGTTGAGCTGAAGATCTCCGTATTGAAACTCGCGATAATTGTTGTCCGTAAACACCAAGTTCCAGATGCCCTCCCTCTTAACTAATCCTCCCTCGATAGCCTAAGAAAATGATTTAAACTTTAAGATAACTTTCATCCACCTGTGTTTACTTAAGGGGGCAGTTACATGCGGAGCAGGCTGTTTTCAAGGCTATTTTTACGAATTTTTCTAACAGAAACGGTAGAAGGAGGGGGCGAGGGGATCAGTGGAATTTTATCTATATAATTAATCAGTTCTTGTGATTCAATAAAATTTATTTTATACTTTGAACACATTAATGAATTACACTGTGAAAATTTCAAGACCACTTTTTTAACAGAAACCTACCGTTTCTGTTAAAAAAAAATTCTGTAAAAATAGCCTTAAAAACGGCGAACATGCTCCGCATGTAACTCCCCTCCCCCTTAAGTCATTATACTTCCAGGTGATGCCTCAAGGCGTGTGAGGTGTATATATATGTCGCTCACCGTCTTGAAGAGTTCCTCCATTCTCGACGTGCTGGCGTAAATGGCGTAATAAGAAGGCGACGGCCGCATACTCCGTATTTTCGACACCGTTCGCTCCGTCAACTCATCGATCACCACCAGCCTGATGATCGAATTGCCGATGAGATAGTAGAGGCTCTGATTCAGCTCTGAAAACACGACACGACGTCCGACACTCTCGTGGCATTCGGTCGCACATTCGGTACGCGCTACGTTTGTCCTCGACTTGGATCGGCCGCGACGAAAGCGCGCGCCGGAACGTATAATAGATAAATAATGCATCGCACGCGATGCAAGGGAGCTCCGAGCGGCGAGTGCCGCGAAGAAAGTGTACCATCGGCGCGCATAACGACGAATCGCTATCGATCCTCGCGACACGCACCTCTCTCGTCCTCGAAGATCAGGCCGACGTCCGTCGCATTTTTCATAATCAACAGATCATCGATCGTTTGGACGTAGGGGTTGATGCTGCAGTCGCCACGCTTGTATATTATCCCTCGGTCGTCGGCGATGTTCCGCAGCTTGTCCCAACCGGTCCACGTCATGTCGAGTATGATGCTTATTCCTTTGTACAGAACGGCGCACACTGTCGAGTAAGGGAGACTGCTGTGAGGGACATTCCCGCGAATTTGCAAGTGGTTTTTCTCGCAGCTTTACTACGCCGAGACGACGACAATCGTAAATACAGACACATGCATTCTGTGCGACGACGTATCTCACTCGACAGTCTCGCAAGCGCGAGTCGGTCGACGGCAAAGTGCGAGACGAGAGACGTGCGAGAGTTGTTCTCGTAAGTGAGTACCTTTTTCGAAACTCGCGTCCACGTTCTCGCGATTCACCGTGACGGTCGCGACGTTCACGGTGATCATGTCGTTCGCGAAGTTCTGCTCCGCCGCGGGAACAGCGTCGTTCAATATACCCATGATAGACAAATCGGCTTCCTCTAGCACGACCACTTGAAAGCGAAGAGGAAATTCAGCATTTAGCGCTCTCCGTCGTCGGGACAAACAAGAAGCACACAGATCAAAGCCGAGCACCTGCTACGCTCGCGCGAACCCACCACATCTTCTCTGAATTCTCTGAGTAAGCAAATAGCTGAACGCTGCAGCGCTCGTCAAGGTCGATTCGTCGGATGGAGGACAAACCGCAAGTCAATCGCAATTCGATCAAGGAGCCAGATTTTTAGACTTTTAGGGGTCTATCGAATTGTCTGATCAACGCAACGGTACTTGAAGAAAGCCTACAGACGAAATTCGCGAGGCAGACTCTGTATACTTACACAGATTCATCGGCATCTGGCAGAGCGCAAGCGGCAAGAGGAGCGCGTGGATGGTCAACACGGGCGACGTCCTCGTCCTCGTTGACATAGCGAGAGTCATGGGTCAACCTGTCAACCGGGCGAGACGAGTTAACCCGTCGTCTGCGAAGCGACGAGGACCTCTCACGACCTCACGCGCGCACATGGGGAGGACCGTCTCCTCTCCTCGTTTCTACCGCGCTGGGCCACCGTGTCCTTTTGACGCGCTTCTCTTGATGGCATTTGCTTCTTCATCGCATATTTACCTGCTTCACCGGTCTCCGACTGGTCCCCTTCGATTCGGAAGCGCGCCGCTTCGCAGGCCTGCTAAAGACTGCGCGAGCCGGCTGTGCGAGCGATACCTTCCTCGTTCCTCGTAGCTCGTGCAGCAGGTGCAGCAGGATAATACAGATGGACGACGTACGAACGGCGTGGCGCGATGAAACGACGACGACGACGACGACGACGAAGTCACGCCTGCGCCGATGGCCGGAGGAGACACACGACGAATCGCTTATGAATATTAGACCGGCACCGGTCGAATCGCGGGTTCCCTCTTCTTCGCGATGAGCCTACATATTTGTCTGTGTGTAAACGCGGACTCGCTGTCGTCGTCATCGTAGACGTCCTGCCGTCCGACACCGACTATCGGGCCGTCGGGCCATCGATTTATCGCGCGGCTCATAAAGTCGCGTGTACAAGCAACCGTCAATGCCAACGTCCAGCCCGCACGTTTGACAGCGAAAAAGCGGCTGATTTTCGGTCGCATATCGCTTCACGACGTGTTCGCGTCGCGCTTCGACGCGATGCGATTTTCCTGTTCGGGCTTTCTTTTATCGCGTATACTTTATGTATTGTTCGTCCGTCATATTTTTATGATTAGAGATTACACAGATCGCGATCGAGCGCGAACGCTCCATCTCGCGCTCTCAGACGAGCGGTTGCGAGAGATCGATGAGGGAGATAACGAACTGAGATGAGTTGATCTCAGATTGCATCTGTGAGATGCACCGCGGGCTACGAGATTAAACAGCGACCGCTGCATTACTATGACGACGATTTGCTGATCGCGACGAAAGCGGCTCGTCATCAAACCCGCCGCAAAAAGCATGAGTCCGCTTCTTCTTAATAAACGTCAGCTCGACTCGAAGTATGCCTCAACAAATAATGTAACAACGGTATTAGGCTTACGTATGCTACAACAAAATGATCGATACGCATGTTATCGATTAGCTGCCTGCTGCATAATAACGAATGGCAGCAACAACTATTACCGCTCCGACTCGTCCCGACTTCACTTGCGTTCCGCTGCCGATACGATAGCCTGACATAATGACGTGACATCGCATGAACAGGACGCTGTAGGGACAATCGACCTCGTGGGCGAAGGTGCCGTACGCCACGAAAATGACGAGTCAGCGTGGATTATTTAAACGGTTCCTCCGTCGTTGGTGTCGTTAGCTGAACGAAAGCAAACTCCGTGACATTCCGCGAGGTCACACAAGACCGAATGAATTATTGTTGGTCCACTCGTATATGTATCGTATCATTACCGAAGGTAATTGTAAATCGCTCGTTCGCTGAAAACTCCGGAAACTGCTGATCGATAATAAACTGCATCGGCCGTGTCGACATCCCAGGGGCTGCCGCACGAAAAATGCAATGCCGTAATTCTTCCGCAGCGCGAACTCAATAATGCAGAAGTGTACGATCCAACGCGTGAGCCCACTTTTGTGGAGAATAACTGGTCGGAACTCGGAGAAAATGAGGTGGAATCGGGTGGAAAATGAGGAAAAAGCGGAAAGGTGGAAGAAAAAATTGAGAAGCGCCGACTCATCCATTTATTCCTATTTTATTCGTCATTCAAAGAAGAAAGTATTCTATTTGTAAAGTTTGATTTTTCTCATAGCATCATATTCTAAGCAAAGCCTTTTACAGGAAAAGAATTCCTCCCTCGATAAAGCGATTAAAAAGTGAATCATTCATCTATTTAAAATTTATCAGATATTATTCCAACTGTTTTCCTCTTATTTCTCAAGAGGATTTCCTCTTATATAAATTAATTTTCCTCTCATATGAAGAGGAATATGTTGATTTATAAATAATAATCCTCTTAAAAAAAGATTAAATTATCTGCGTATAAGAAGAAATTTATATTAAAATCAATAAGATTTGCATTACACATACAACATATAATTTAAGAATAATGTGTTTACAAAAAAAAATATTTTCCTCTTAATCTTAAGCTAACCTAGAGAGCCAATCCTCTTGAAGCCGTGTATACTAAGAGTAAAGTCCTCTAAAATTTACATGATTCCGCTTGTTCTGAAATTACTTTTTCTCGATGGTCTAGCATCTCTTTGTTCGCTTCTGTTTTCATCGATCTCTTCTAGCGTCGATGCATCGAATTATCCCAACACGCCCACGACACACGCCGCGATGAAACAATTTCTCCTCCGTCTAGCCGAGAGCGTTTCGCGTCAAAAAGTCCGCTCGTTTCTCCGGCTCCTACGTACGCGATAACGCGCCGCCACAGCGCGAAGTTACGGCGCGCGAAATCAGTTCGCGTTCGTGTGGAACGTGCTCGAACGAAGTTGAAGCCGAAGTCAGCGTCGCGGTGGTGGTCGTTGTCGAAGATATCGGCGCGATCGCGCTCCGAGGTTGATTAATTTCCATGCTTGAGGAAGCAGCGGCTCGGCGATGCGCGGTCGCGGGGAATAATGACGCCTCGAATCAAGATCGCACTGCGATGGAATCGCAGATGTTTGGACGACGGACGGCGAACCGCGCGACAGGTGCGGCGGCGGCGGCGGCGGCGGTGGTGGCGGTGGCGGGATGCTTCAATAGTCCTCGTCACTATTTTTAGATCGCTCCGAAGTCGAAACGACGCTACTATGACGCTATTGTGTGAACGACGGATGACTCTGATAAAATGTTTTTGTCAATAACGCCGCGAGAGCCAATCGCGCGGCGAACGGCTCCCCGAACTTTCCCCTTTATTCAGATGACCCGAGCGACAATTCGTCGCGTGTACCTCGTCACGTAATCGACCGTCGCATCTATTACTCATTGTCAGGCATAGTGTATGTGTATGTATGTATGCGTGTATGATTTATTGCGGATTAATAGGACATTGTACATTTAGGAAACACATTTTCTTCACGGTCAGAGGGACAATGCGATCGATACAGTACACATGCGCTATCATCAGCGTGCGTACATCAGTGTACACGTGAGTGTTGCACGCGCACACGTTGTTACAACTGAAGAATAAGAACACTGCATTAAACTCAAATACACGTCGTAATTGATTGTGTATATCGCGTAGATTTACGCGAAACTGTTAGATCTTTACCTGGAGAATACGAAACTTCGCGTGCGGAGATCATTCGATGATGCACGACTGAGAATAATTATTTCAAATTAATCACGGCTGATTTGGGATTTGAATGGAGCAGATTTGGGGGTCCATATCTTCGCTATCGGTATTCCTTTACCGACGACGGATGACGCGTGCCTTTCCGCAATGTTTCAGCATAATTTGCATTCGTGCGTACAGATGTAAGCCGATAAGGAACTTTCGCAATATGCAATTACACCAACCATACAATTATTAATTTTGATAAAACATTTACACAACTATTTATATTCACGAAGCAAAGGAAAGGCTTTAGATTCGCGAACAGTTTCTCATGAGATGTTCATCGCATAGGGTTCGCGTTTCTCCCCGACAGATGGCGCCAAGATGCAACAGTGCGACGCTCGAGTTAAAAAATCCAAGATGTCGTCTAACGGAAAAGCAGCCGCACGTAAAGATGCATTTATTATTAGTCTGTGGAACAATTAGCATTGGCATTTGTTAGTCGCGCTCTGCTTAGGTGAGTATCGAATTAACTCAATGTAGTATTCTTCGTACTTGCTCTGTGGAATATGCATGAGGAGAGGTGGAGAAACTTGAAACAAAATCTCAAGTCCCTCGTATACGCGAAGTATAATGGCGACGCGTTGGGATCGTTTGAAAAATATTCACAGCGCACGCATGGTACTTTAAAGGTGAATTTATTTGCATAAAGTACAAGTCACGTGGCTCGCGCGAGAACAAATCATCCTCTTTCAAAACGGACGCGATCGCGTCGGCGGTGAATAAAAGTCAACAAAGCGTGCGCGAGCTCGTGAAAAGCCGTCGGAGGCAGAAGTCGTGTGATTACACGAAAAGATACACGGATTGCACATGCACACGCACAATAGACGCGGCATTCGGGTATTTCGAGCGGTGTGTATTTTTGTTGCATAATTCGGCTCGCCATATGCCACGTTTCGTTTAATCGAGCGCTTCGTGCGCTCGACGCTCGAAAAAACGCTGTTCCAGTTTCTCGAAACATGTATATATATATATATATATATATATACGCGTGCGTACATACTCGCATGCACGCACGCACGCACGCATGCACGCACGCACGGCGTATTTTGCCGCGCCGGCGCGTAGCCGTTCTTGAAATACATATACGCGGGCATGAATGAACATTTTCTAGTCTCATTCATACGTTTAATCCGTTCATCCGACGAGATTCTATCCCGCGTTTCTCCCCATCTGCGCATACGCGCTTTAGCGACGCTTCGGCGACGTCGTTTCGTCGCGCGAACTCTCCGCCGCTTCCGGGCGGTAATTAACATTTTCTCACGAGATATCATTCTGCGTTTCAGCGCGTGTATACTCGGATATAGCGATATACCTGTACCCGCCGACGCTTTGCGTTAACCTTCCCCAAGCTCGACGCGCTCGCCGAGGAGAAAGAATTGTAAAGGAGACGGAAGGAAAAGCCGTTTGCTCCGAGAGAACGAAAGGTAAAAGCGAGCGGACGGAATAAAGGTCGCGTCAAATTTTCTCGCGTCGACGCTCCCCCATAAATACAATCGCGTTCGCTCTCTTTCTCTCTCTCTCTCTCTCTCTCTCTCTCTCTCTGTCTCTGTCTCTGTCGATACTTCAAATTTGATCGCGACCGACGAGCGTCGAGCAATTCCCGCGAGACGGCGAGAGCCGTCGACGGCTCCGGCTGTCAGATTCGTCTCGAGAAAGATGCTCGCGACAGTAAGGAGAATAACGCGCCGCAAACAATGGCGTAACAGCCATGGCTGGACGTGACTGACGGCCGCGGCGAGTGCCGGCGCGGCGCGGCGCGGCGCGACGGTGGCATGTAGCGACATATACCGGTCGCGGCGCGGCGCGGCGCGAAAGCGAGACGGCAACGCCGCCGCGGGCTAACACTCGCGCTTGCACACACGCCGCTTGAGCGCGGAGCTACGGACTTGGGGTCGACTTTCGCCTGTGTGACAGTCGCGGCTCTCGCGAGAGCGGCGCGGCGGGGCGAGACCTATTGGGAGCGCGCGACCTATCGCGCCGCCGTCTCGCGGATCGAACAGAACGCGAGATCACGTGCCAGCTGGAGAGCGCAGCAACTGTCAGTGGGCGAGCGTCCGGCCAATGGGGGTGCTGGCGAGTGACGTGACAACGTCGCAGACTCGCTCGGGAGTGCAGGAGCCGATGCAGTCGCCGCTCGACTACGACAGTTCCTTCGTAGTCGGTCGTAGTTCGTGTCCGACAGTGCGGGTCGCTGCTTCATAACCGTCCGCGGAGGGCCCGTCGGGGCCCGCAGAGAGAAGACGCACGCACAACGCGGTTCGGAGTCTCTCTCTCTCTCTCTTTCTCTCTCTCGCTGCTTGCGCTGCGACGATAGGTTGTTACCACGATGACAGATTTGACAGCGTCGTCGGCAACGACCAGTACGAGCGAGGTAACAGTAACGACGGTGCGATGACAACGTAGCTGTTTAATGCGATATCGCCGTTGCTGCCAACGGGAGCAGCAGCAGCAGCAACAACAACAGCAACAGCAACAGCCAAGTTCGACCGGGCTGTGCACGTATACGAATGTTCCTTCTTCTCGCGTCGCGTTCTTTCCAAACGAAAGGCGGTGGAATAGCGGCGTGCCGAGTTCCAGGAAGAAGCGGAGCGGAGGGATATCTCGTGAGCGAGCGACAGGAAAAAAAGGGATCGCCGCTGTGTGATCGCGGAAGGAAGAACGGTCGAGAGGGAGAGAGAGAGAGAGAGAGAGAGAGAGAGAAAGAGAGGCAACGTGTGCTGCGAGAGATCGCGGTAACGCTCACGCACGCACGGACGTACGTACGTACCTACGTCCGTCGCGACGCGATACAGGAGGAGGTAGACACTAGAGAGAACGAGAGGGAGTGGAAAAAAAAAAGTGGAAAAGAGGAAGAAAGCGGAAAAGAGAAGAATAGGCGCTCGTCGCTCGGTAGCGAGCGCCATTCGGAAGTAACAGTGTCAAAGCACTGCCGTTCGTAATTCCCTTCAGCGCCACAAACTGCCGCCGCCGAGTGCGTGCATCTGGAACGTCAGTGGGACAAGTGAGTGCGCGCGTGCCCATCGTCGGCGTGTGTCAACGTGTGTCAGAGTGGCCTGGCGAGATCGAAAAGAGAGAGAGAGAGACAGATAGACAGACAGTCTCGCGCGGGCGGGTGGTAGGCGTCCACTCGGTCGCGCTGTCTCCGTTCAAGCAGTCGCGACTCGCAAGAGTCGCGTGGCTCTTTCTCGCTCTCGCGAGACCGCTCCGTTCGCTAGCGCGGAGTTTTCACTGGCGCGACACGCGCGTACCACGTACGTGAGGTACGCGCAGAGGTGCGCGCGTGCGATACGCGAGAGAGCCGCGAGTCGGCGCGGCCGAGTGTGCCGTGCGTGCCGGAGCGGAGCGGATCGGATCAGATCGGATCGGCGGCGGGGAGCGTAGAAAAATTGCCGGATAATGGAGAGTTCCGCGTGTGCCGTGGACTGAGGCGCGATCGGGCGTGAATCTTTCCGTGTGTATCTGCCACGAGGAAGGTGGAGGAGGAAGAGACGGAGGAGGAGGAGGAGGAGGAGGAGGAGGAGGAGGAGGAGGAGGAGGACGGACGGGAGAGATTAGGTTAGGCACCGACACCGCGTCACCGCACCTCCCACTCCCCCGGCTACGGCGCGCGGGGTGCACCATCTCGCTTCTACGTGCACGCCCGTTCCCATCTTGCTCGCGCGCTGCCCGCCGCTCGGCGAACGAGGACGACGTGGAGGGAGAGAAACGCAAGAGGAAGAGAGACAGAGAGGGGAACAGGGAGAGGGAGAGCGAGGGAGAAAAAAAATAAGGAAAGAGGGTGAGACGACGACGGCGACGGCGACGACGACGACGACGACGACGACGGCGACGACGACGACGACGACGGTGCGAGCTGGCTGGGGAATCCGAGGAAAAGCGGGAGAAAAACACAAATGCCGATCGCCGGTGGAATTCTGGTCGCTGGATCGGTCACGACGACGACGACGACGACGGCGGCGGTGGCGGCGGCGGCGGCGGCGGCGGCGGCGATTCCCTGCGTGTCCTCCAACACTGGCATGCTACGTTTCATCGACAGGCTTTCAGGTTAGCGCGAGACATCGCTATTATTGCACGAGTACATCCGCACCGCTCGCGCGAATTTAGAGTTCGGCGAGACGCGCGCGTTAGCCGTGTCGTGGCCCTCGTGTCGCGACAGTTTGACGCATCGGACGTTTCCGCTCGAGACCAGTCGAGACGGTGTCCTTTTTTTCTCTCTCTCCTCGCATCCCGTCGCGCGACGGCGAAGGTGCAGACGATCTGTCGCGTGCTCGGAATTTTATTGCCGTGAATTATCTTTCACGAATTTCACTTCGTTTTTCTTCTCTCTCTCTCTCTCTCTCTCTCTCTCTCTCTCTCTTTCTCTCTCTCTCTATCTCGAGTCTTTAGTTTATTGGGATGTTTCTCACCGTTGGACACGATCGAGTCGGTGCTCGATCTCGCGAGAAACAAGCGTCGTCGGATCGACGTGTCCGCTCTTCCGACATCAGCTGGAAAAACACACAGCTGAGAAAATTGCACGATCTAGGACTCGCTCTCGTTTACGGGCGAAACCCATGTATTATTTCTACGCTCTACGTTGCATTGCATGTCGCGGAAATAGGAGGGACGTATTTCGATCTCTACTCGACTATCTTTGTCTCCGTCGCTCTCGCGAGCGTTAACGTTTTTTAAGGATCGCCGACCGGCGCGGCGGCCAGGAATACGGCACGCGGTGAATCGCGAATTCGCCGCCGAATTTTCGGTACGCCAGTCGGTCTCTCTCTCTCTCTCCCTCCCTCCCTCTCTCTCTCTCTCTCTCTCTCTCTCTCTCTCTCTCTCTTTCTGTCTGTCTCGACGTGCCGTTAAGTGTAAACGTACGTGCGAGCGACGTAGACAGAATAAAAGGGACAAGAACGTAGACTCCGAAGAGAGCTCGCGCAGAAACAGAGGGACAGAGAAAAAGAGAGAGAAAGAGAGAGAGAGAGAGAGACGGCGTTCGCATACGTGGTGCGATCATTTTTTCCCTCGGAGACCTCTTCGTCGTCAGTCGTCGGATATCCGCGACGGGACGCGACGCGACACGTCGTTCTGTTCTCGTGCGGCGCTCGCTCGTGCGATCGCACGAATAGAAACGTAGTAATAAAACGACACTTCTGAACGTAAAACAGAGTCGAGTCGCATGCGGACATCGGGAGAACGAGCGCACTCCGGCTTTCTCGAGTCCCGTCGATTCCGCCCCGCTTTCCTTCCTTCCCATCGATGAAACGGAACAGGCTTCGTCGTGTGACGTTTATAAATATTCCTTAGACGATATATGGTCTACGTGAAAACGAAAAGGCAGAGAAAGAGAGAGAGAGAGAGAGAGAGAGAGAGAGAGAGAGAGAGAGAGAGAGAGAGAGAGAGAGAGAGTGAATCAATTGGCAGAGCACGAATGGAGGAATGGTCGATGATTTTCCGCGAGCTGTCATCGCGCTCGCGCGCTCCTCTTTTTCACGAAGTTCATTATTGAAGAGCGATCGTGAACGCGCGCTGCTGCACTCGCGATCGCCGGAAAAGAGTTTGTTGAAACTCGGTGAAAGCGCCCGTAAAACATACGCGTGAGATTAATCGTGATTCCCCGTCACTTTACTAATCCCTCAGTTCGCGCCGCCGTAGCGGTTGTCACGCTCGTAGAAAAATTACTTTGCCGAATTTCGTTGCGATCGAACTTCCTTTGTTCGTCACTCGATGGCAATTAGACGTTTCTCGGAAAACGAACGAATTGCCAAATGAACGAGACATCGCCGGCGGTGATCGCGTCGTCGTACGCGAACGAATCGACCGATTCCGCCGACCGCGCTTGCTTTTCGTCGATCGAATTAAATCATCGCGTTGGAATGAACATTACGCGCGTCGTGTCGCAAACTATTTTTGCACGCGACGATATTCTATAATACAACTCACATCTGTATATGCCTCGCTGTCCTCGGCTGATACAAATAATCCGCGGACTAGCGACTATTCTTATTAAAACATTTACAGTTTTATCTTTAGGACTTACGGAGTAAGCTCCGAGAGCTTTTTTCCTTCTGATGGAGATAATTATCATTCTATGGAACTTGGAATGAACGTACGCTATAAATGATAAAATTTATTTTCACGTACTCTATGCTTACGTCATATTAAAAAGTATCGGGAAGATTGAAAAATGATTACGCATGATATGTACGAAAATTGATTGATGAATGAGTCAAAAAAACGCTCGGCGGTCGAAATCAATCGGCGTTAAATGAGACTATTCGTTGGACGAAATGAGATTTAGCAAGTAGACGCTCTTTTACACTACCTCGAGGAATGAAATTATTTTGCAGTTTCGAAGAGAAAATCGTCTATCTAGTCGTATCTACTATCGCGCTATCTGTCGTCTAATGTTATCTTTTATTTGAGTTAGAAATTAATCCGTGTTCTTGAAACGTATCAAGAGCTGCAGTGAGGCTCAAGTTTAAATACCTGTACATGTCGTTCTTCATTACTATCAGTTCTTAAATGTATCATAACACGGAGTAAAATCTGCAGCACACTTACAGGAGACATAAAACTTTATTTATTAGCACTGACAGTCGTTGGAAATTTTACACTTTCAAACTGCCCCGATAACACGAATTATATTGCACACGTATAGAACGTGTAATGTAGGCTTTTTGATTTGTAATATCAAGCGATCGATTGATAAAAACAATTTACCAAAATCGCGAGACGGAAATCACGTTTATCGAAATTATACGAGATAAATCACAAAATCGATTCACCAGGTTAGATCGTTCGACACACGAAACTTAAACGCGTGAATCCGTTTCCATCTCCGCGTGGCACTTGGACGATTCCCGTCTCGACGCGCGATTATTTCCGCTGGAAAACGTCTGGCGACACATAAGGAGTGGGAAATGAGGAAATAAATCTTTGAAAAGTCACCGTGTGCCACGTAGCGTCGCATCGGCCGCACGCAGCAATGAGGACGTAACGCCTATTTCTAAATAGATGTTAGACGTGGGACTGTTGTACCGACACAACAATGAGTACCGTTATTATTAAGTCCTTTGGACGGCGAGCGGAGAGAACATCTCGTCATCTATGCTTACTCCTTCGAAACTTCCCTCTTCTCACCTGCCTTCTCTCTTTCGTTCCTCCCTCTGGCTGTTCCTTTTAACTTTCTCTCTCTCTCTCTCTCTCTCTCTCTCTCTCTCTCTCTCTCTCTCTCTCTCTCTCTCTCTCTCTCTCTCTAACGACGCATAATTTTCAAATCACACATCTGTATATTTATATTTTTCATCCGATCCCGTTTGTTTATAGCACCGTGTGCTCTCTTGTGACTTTGAGGCAATAATATTGCCGTCAAACAGTCCGTTACTACAGTCCCTGTTCCTTTCATCAGACTAAATTACAACGAAATCACACTTGAATATTCATTTAGTCAGTCCGACGATTAACGTGCCTGCCATTTTTTTGTTACATCGTTCTTTTTTAGAAACAAAACGAATATTGGTTTATGAAAGGTTGCTTTTGCGACTTTCTCAACGACGACCTAGTCTAATGTGTACTCGTCATTAAAAATAATGAATCGCGTTCGATTTTCAATCGAGAGACAAATCGCTCTAATCTTTTCGTTGATGTTCAGGAAAAAGTATTTTGATTGATCATTGTGAATTTCGCTTCTTTTGCATTTCCTATCTCAGACTTCCTCCAAATTCGCGATACGTTGGTTCGAGGTAATGCATTTTTCGTTGTTAACTCGAAAACGATGAACTCTTCGAAGGCCGCATTTATCGTCGTGCACCTGATTCCCTCCGTCATTCCAACTCGACCGATCCGCAGGCCAATTTGATCGGCGTGTTAGTTGAAGATTGATACGCGCGAGCACTCCACTTAGCAAGGTGCAGCAGAAGCTCCGTTTTTCGCCAATCGATTCCGTTTCGTGCGCGATGGTCTATAACAGCGTCGCTAGATATATGCACCGCGTACACCTGCAACGCGCAACGATGAATTTACGCTAATTCGCCCCGTGTATCCTCAATTTGATGCGGTAAAATCGCACGATGCGGACTCGACCGCATGACGCATTTGTCGAGTTGAGTCACAAACAACTTCCAACGGAAATAGCAAATATTGAATTTTCCCAAAGCCGAAAGAGTCACGACGACAAGCTTGCGTCAGTCGGCACAGAGAGTCGCGAGTCGTCATTAATAAACGCACGGGCCCCCTCAGGCCTCATTGTCGAAAGTTTCGTGCAACGAGAAAACAATTTCAAGCGAGGAAGACGAGCGGAAGTCGTGTATGACTCAGCTCCACATTTTCGGATTCCGCGTGGATCATCGCACCTTTGAAAGGTGGTGTCAAAAACGACGCGGATGTCGTTCCTTTCTCTCCGCCTCCGTGTCATCCTTCAAACCGAGATAATCGTGAAAGGACACACCACACACAAGGCGAGGAATTGTTTCGCGCGGCAAGGCGCGCGGGGATTTGAGAAACGTGCAATCGGAAACGATTACGATAAATATCGCATCTGAGCGGCGCTTGCGTATTCTTGCGTAATTTGCAAGTCGCGTCACTCCGATGCCTAATCGTTCAGGCTCGCGCCGTCGAGGATTGCACGGAGATTTTAATCGTCGTCGACGGGCCGCTCTCCGCGGCGCGCGTGCGGATAAATAAATGAACGGAGACGCGTATGCGCGCATTTTTGCATGCTTTTGCCGTTTGAAGGATCCTCGCGGAACATCGCGTGACAGATCTCGATTTCATCAAACGCTCGTCTCGCGAAGGAGCTGCGCCTACACATTTATATGCATGTCAACCCGCGAGGGCTATAACCTGTAAGTAACAGTATATAATCGGGAATCGGCGGCGCGCGCGATCGCTTTCGCGTTTGATCCGGCGCGATGCAGGATTTTCCGACTGCTCGACGACGAAACGGTGCCAGGCATCGTCCTCCGCGCGCCACGCGCGGGGCGAACGCGATTGTGGCTGGCTGAGACGCAGTCCTGCAGAGCCGGAATCGCAATCGAAGGATTTTTCCCGACATGTTACATAGC